TAAACCGTAAACTCGCGAACATTTTGTCTCGAACGCACACTCCTCTGACGTAAGGTGAGAGCTGAGTATTAAAGGGACCGTGATTGCGTGCGATTGTGCGGCCATTACCCCGCGCATCAGTACTCTCGACAGTGCGCACTTGTCATGAATACTTCGCGTGCAGGTAGAAAGTAGGTGGTTGGTGGTCCCCGTGATTGGCATAACGTCCAGCAAATTGACGCGAATTGTGACTGTAGCCAGTTCGTTTGCGAAGAGCAAACTATCGATATGCATGGCGTAGTATATTGAAACAGCGTATATTGCTTTAGGCGGTTCAGTGCAGTTTTTGCCCAGCGTATCCCTGTCACAGGGCAATGCTTGACGTGAACGGTTTTCGTGCTCCGGAAAGGAGCAGTATTTTTGAAAGAAGACGTGGATGTTCGCTTCTGCAGAAGTCAGGACGCGCCGCCGGCAATTCACTGTTAACCTGAACTGCATTGCATAGAATACGTGAACAACGAACTGAATGAGGGCGGCCATTAGGCGATGACAACGAATTTAACGAGAGCAACCGATTGGAGAAGAGCAACAAATTGGGCTGACTGCGTGGTGTGATAACATCGCGTCGTTGCTGGTACAACCTGTTTTGGAGCAAGCACTCAAGTATGTTTACTTGGCATAGGAAGCGGCACTACATTTGGTACATTTAGGAAATTCCCTTGTCAACGGTGGAAGATGGTCATACATCCTTGCAATGCGAGGTTGGGAACCAATCGTGCAACGTGCTTCCTCGAAGCGGCTGTAAATCCTGTCGAACACTCAATGTTACCCGACCATGTGTGAGCACCATCAGCCAACTGTGAGAACAACGTGGGAAAGACTGCCTCGAATGACCCCACGGGGGGACGCGAAGCCACATTGGGCGTGGCGTTCCCAATGGGATCGAAACTGAGCATCTCACGCAACAACACGGGGTTCGAGAAACATTCGACACTGTTTGCCGGATGTCGCCACCAATCATGCGGCCAGTCATCACCCATATGAACGTCAATCACTTATATAAACGATTATAATCACCTATACGAACGAACCAATCGCCCATACGAGAGCCAGTAATCAACGGTAAGAGTGACGGGGGTGGGGGGGGGGGGGATGCCGTCGCAGATGCATTCCCGGGACCCTAGAGACTGGGATTGGCTCCATTACCTTAAGGTATCTTGGCGGTTCGTTAAAGTTAACATTGAATTGACTAAAAACCTGCATGGTTCATGCATTTAGTAGCATTGTCCTTTTTGGGGGCGCTGACTTCGACGAAAAATGTATGATCTTTCAGCTATGACTAAGCAGTAGATCATGTTATGTTAAATAAGCAGTTCATAGAACACTTCTTGCATGCGACGTTTATGCTCTGACTGCAGTTACGGTCAATTAGCGTGACCTGTGATGGACTGAAGATGAACTGAATGAACCTGTAACTCGCCAGTGCACCGTTGTAGGCTCATTATTACGATTAGCATGTTCGCTATGACGAATATGTTGTATGTTATCACCGACAGAGATCTAAATTGTCGTTCATGCGCAAATAAACAAGTTGCAAAACTATAACCCGCCCGCGTCGTTGGATTGTGCGACGTCGCATTGACGTGATTTGTGTTGGTCCAGGCTTCAATTGATCCACCACGAGCTCGACACCACTGACTGTAGGTTCCGAGACTATGTGCAGTCCCAGTGAAGCATGCTCCAACATAGATTAAGCTTGGAAGCTCACTTAGCACCAGAGGTTAATATGGGACGCTGTCGCGACTTCATTTATTGTTGCTGTCCGGTCACTGGCCTGAGTTTTTTTTTTTATTAAACCAGTATGACGTCGTTGGGCCTATCAGGACTTGTAACGAGATCTCAGTCCAAGAGAGCACGCATGAAACATGAAACAGATTGACGTGACCGAGGCCGAAATGAACCTTGGACTTTTGACGCCCGAATATGTCATATTTGCTGTCAAGTGTAGCACATGAAGATATCAGGTCAACCCCGCGCCTCATTAAGCTGAGTTATGGCGCAAAATCAGGGATGTTGGATATCCGACTATGACGAGCGGCGAGCTAAAACCATGAAAACGATGCGGTTTCAACATGTTGTCAACGGGGGTATTTCAGAACCTCAGCCACAGACCTGTACATGTTCCTGTGTTTTGGCGCGCGGTCACATGAAGAATGAGACACAAAGTAATGTTAGGTCTACATTACAGCTTCTTGTCAGGACGGGGCCCTTCTGCCAAGACGAGCGTCTGTGTTCTAAAAAGAACAACTTTGGCTGGCGGTCGTAGTCCTGAAACTTAAAATAGGATTTGCGGCCATCAAGTTGCAAAAATCCAACCCATCGCTAGGATTTTCTGAGGATCTAAGAAGAGTTGCCAGCCTGAGAGGACTAAAAATCCCACCAGGATCCCAAAAGCGCCGAGATAAGTTTGCGGATACGTGGTGAGGGAGCCTTTTGCGAAAGCAAAAGGTGGAAACATCTGTGTGTAGGGTGTAAGCCTGCAAAAAGGCCCTAAATCCCACAGAGATCCCACCGTTGTGAGAGCTGCCTGAATGTCCCAAAACGGCCTGGGAGTCTCGTAGTGGCTCCTTACCAGGAAAAAAGTCTTCAGACTAGAATTATAGCCGGTTAACCTGTCTCGGCAGCCTGAAGCCTTTTGAGTGGGTACTGGGTATATAAAAGTGTCTTTGGCTATGGAGACGAACATATTGTCTGAAAAGAAGCTGTACCCCAGAAAGATTTCGCATGGAAGAGCTCGTTTGCGTCGGAATCTTGACAACACGAAAACCTGCGCTATCAAACAGGGATCAGCTGCGTTTGGAACCAGTTTATCTTGCCGTTTTAAGTCTTTGCCTGTCTAAATCAATGGTCGGCCTTTCTCTGAGCAACCGTTTGACCCTCCCCGTGTGCCCTTGATTGCCCCCCCCCCCCCCACCCCGGTCCCCACCCTCACCCCTGGCGTTTGAACCTTGCCAATGCTCCCAGGTGTGAGATTGGGGCGTTATGCTGAACGCTTTGGAATGCACGGCCCCACCGTTTGGGACCGTCTAGCACAAGGCCTATGGTGGTGTATGAACAAGATGAAATTCCCTTTCCAAAGGATGGAGAACGTCCCTCAGCTTTGTCGCAGGCCTCAGTTTTCCCAGAAACATGGGCCGATTCGGACTCGTCGTCTATGGTATCGTAATGCCATATTGTATCGTCTCATCAAAAGCCAGGATTGGGCTCTCATCCCCGTAAGCTTTCGTTTTCCATCAGGGAAGCTTGCAATCACAGCTCCTGCCGTTGTAATCGTGGCCTTGTGCAGCTTTATCAGACGCCAGGATTGGACTTTTATTCATGTACAAGGTTGTTTTCCATGAGAGATGCTTTCAGCCACAGGCACCCACCTGTGATAAACGTGTCCTTGCTTAACGAGCTTGCCAGACCGGCCCACCTGGCCAGAACGAAGACTTCTGGCCAGCTACACTGGCCACTCCCCGTCCCCTCTTTGATCTCCGAAATTTTGGGACCCAGTTCCGCAATTTGGGCCCACTTTGGACCCTTTAGTCCGCACTTGACTAGTTTGTTCAGATGGAATGACGCAAAGATCTGAAATATCTACATAACACACGATCTTAATAAAAATGATAAGGCCCAATTGTGTCTAAAGCCTTGAACTACTTACGTTTTGCGGGCCGTACGTGAATCCGAACATTGAAAGCGTGTTCCAACTGTGTATCTGTACGCAACATGAGCGCCAGTGTTTCCACTGTCAAGACTGTAAATGGAGCTGCTTTGAGCGCGCGTGGCGGTCCGCTTTGGAAAGCTATCGGGACATGGCAGAAAGTGAGGCTATAAAGGACACAGTGCATGATGACGACGCAATGGCCAGCCTCGGACAGCTGAAAATGTTGTCATATGTTTGATGCGTGATTCACATGAAGGATTAGTAGATTGTGAACACATACGTGTAACGGCAGGTCTGTGCTGCGCTGGTGTGCTGATGATGGTGGGACTTGTATGTTGAATTGTCACCAAACCAATGAAATGTGTGGAAACTTGCACTTAGCAAGAAGGTGGCAAAGCCGACAAAAACTAAAAAAACTTACTTTTTAGAGTACACTCATCTTGTCTATGTAGGGGATGCCTCCTAGCCTTGCTATAGTGTCCTTTATTCAAGTCGTGTTAGATACTGCAAGTAAACGCATAACGAGAACGGCTAGAACGTCTTATGAGACCCGCGTCTAGTACTTAGTTTTCGTGTCGTGCTGGCATACAAAGCTGGTGGTTTCCGTGGAGTTTGGCAGGCCTGGATTTTCCTACATGATCACTCAGTAACGGTTCGCGGTTCGTTTCCCTACGTGGCCGAGTGTCCGTCACTAGCAGGCAAACATAGAGAAAAACAGCTGGATCGCACATGGCAGAAACGAAACGGCTTGGTTTTTGCAGTGGCTCTCCTCCGCGTCAGTGACAGAAATGCCAGCGGCATGTCGTCGTGGCGGCCGGCTGCCGGCGGCGGACGTGAGGGGGAGAGGGCGGTGGGGGGGACGGGACAGGCGGTGAGCCGTGGCCGGGCCACCCTGACGACGCCTGTCAAAACCCCACCAGGCGCTGTTGGTTTTATTCACCGGGTGTCAATCTGTCCTGCTGTATATCGATTGGCTGTTAGCTGTCTACGTGTCGGCCGGCGGCCATGCCTGTTGCTTGGCGCATGCGCAGTGGGCGGCGCGTGCGGTGGCGGAGGGCGCCGGCCCGGTTGGCGGGCCCATTCGACAGCGGGTGGCCGAGCGGTGCCGCCGTCGCCCCGTCTCCGGTGAGCCTCTGATGCCCGCTCGGGCACACGGCGCCCTCCATCAGACCTGCCGTAACGTAACTCTGCTGGCTGCCGGCGCTCTTGCGAGCAGCCCGGCCGGGGTGGCTCCTCGGCTGGCAGCTGGCGCGACCGGGCTGTCTTGCCGCCGGCGCTCTAACAGCGCTGGCATGTCTCCGTGCTGTTGCAGATATCGCGCCTGGAGCAGAGGAACGGCGAGCTCGAGGAGCGCCTGAGCACCGCCGACCTCCAGCTGAGCAGCCTCTCGCAGCAGCACCGGCAGGAGATCGTCAGCCGCGAGGTAGGTTCCTCCCCGCCCCGCCCCGCCACCGCGGTCGTACCGCTCGCCCGCTCTACTGACCTCCAGCTGAGCAGCCTCTCGCAGCAGCACCGGCAGGAGATCGTCAGCCGCGAGGTAGGTTCCTCCCCGCCCCGCCCCGCCGCCGCGGTCGTACCGCTCGCCCGCTCTACGGACAGGATGCGCACGCCTCGCATTTCACGACTGCAGACGCACTGATGCCCGTCTGAGTGCTAGACAGGCAGCTCAAGTCGCTCAGGGCATGCCGTTTGTTGTTACGGGCAATGAAAGGGGGAACCGGCGCCTGGACATCGCAAACGGCTGCGCTGCCGGTCACGGTCCGCCGGTGATCTACGCACCCAGGGTACGGTGCCGCCCATGACACAGGCGACACATGCAATTGCGATGCGGTCTTGTTCGGCATGGTCTGGACACGGGTCACGCGCCAATTACGGGAACGGGCCAGGGGCATTCGGCTTCGCGATTGCCACAACGCAGAGACTCGACTTGACTGGTCCGTTCAGCTGCGGCGTCGGAATCGGGCGGCATCGGGCGGTTGGCTACGCCCCGCTGCCTTACGCGAGCTGGGGACGGGGATCGTCGCGCAGGCGGATGCGCAACTCACTGTGATATGCACTTTCACTGGTCCGCGGTATTCTCAGTCCTTGTTTGTAGTGTGGAAACCATGTGCCCATAAAAAGTCACGACGTATAGAAGGCAATCATTAATGCAGTCTGCACGATTAGGCGGTGGGGTTTTCTTTTAACGGAAAAACTGGGTCACAAGACCTTATTAAAGTATGTACTCTTTGCCTCGATGAGCACGCAATGCGTCTCTCTTAGGCTGGCAGCTGATGAGAGAAATTGAACCCACCGGCCGTGTCCTTGGAACAATTTCTTCATGACGCAAGCCGACTTATGTGATTACGCCGACTAGGATCAGCGCCCATGTCGCATTCTGGCGGCTGCCGGCCGTTCGCAGAAATCTGGGAGTGGTGCGGCCGGTGGCTTTTGCGGCGCCGTATGCGCCGTGGCGTCACCACTGTCGCACGCGCCCAGATTTACCTCCTAGGTCGCCGTTCGTCACGTACGGTCTCCACACGGGCCCCGGCCCAAACCACTGCGTGCTCACAGTCGCCGCGGTGGCGGCGGCGCGCCGAGCGTGCAGTCGTGAGCCCGGCAGCGCCAGCGCCGCCCCAGCCCGGGTCGGCCGCCGGCGCCGGCCGACCGGGCCTTGCAGGCCGGCCTGCAGCCGTCAGCCCGCGGCAAACAATACCGCGACCGAGGGCGGCAGCGGCTGCGGCGGCCGGCCGGACGTGCGGCGGTGGTGCCGTGCCGGCCGCTCCGCCGGCATTGTGCGGCCCTACGCAACCGTGACATCTCCACGCCGATTGCACAATTGGTCGTCACGCTGATTGGAGAGATAAGGTGCGCATTTCAAAGAGTGGACATGCCATTATGGGCCGCCGCCGGTCGGCTTTTTGTGGCTGCGCCTGGCGGGCGGGGCCGGGGCGGCGCCCAGAGCCGGTGACCGGGAGCTGGCCGATCGCCTGTGCCCCTGGGAGCGGCGGCCGCCCCGTCGTGTGCCGCCGGCGGCCTGCAGACTCGTCCGGCGTCACCTGAGCGGCCGTGCCGGGGCGGCATGGCACCGCGTCACCCGGGCGACGGCCCGCTGTCCAGTTCACACCGCCGGCCTCGCTGACTGACACATCCCGGCCGGCCGTTGGCCTGGCTCGTTTTGAAAGGCGGCCATTATGAGCGCACCTGCAGGCCGGTTTAGCGGCAAAACGAGTTTTGGGCTTGAGCTGGTGCAGGCGGACAAATCCGCGCCGCCGCCGCCGCCGCCCGTTTCCACAAACCGGGCGGAGGCGAGCGGCGCTCGGCTGCGGCCGAGGCTGCCGCCGCCGCCACTGCCGCCGCCGCTGCGCCGACATCGGCCGAGCGCTGGCCTCCGTGTCGGCCTGGGGCAGCCGCAGAGCGGGCTGAGCCGGTACACCTCCGCTGCCGTCCGCGGCGAGCCGGCGGCGCCGGCGCTTCCGCTAGGTTTGCGGTTGGTGGGCTAACCCGTCATTGTCGCCACCTGGTCAAGTGTCGTTCAGTATTTAGTGTCAGGACTAATCCGATAATTGGCGTAATTCCGGCTATGGGTGAGGGTCCCGATTAGTGGAACAAGTGGCGGCGAATGAGAGGATCATTTAGGTGGGATGTGGTATTTGCGTTTTTGTGCTCCCCCCCCCCCCTCCCCCTCTTTGCGGCTACATTTATCCAGAACCATTGCATCGTCCTTCTCGTGTTTTAAGCTCATGTTCCCTCTGCCGGTCAGAACTCACCTACCGTTAGGGTACCGACACTTCTTGCATTGAATTCGCCACCCCTGAAGTTTGCGATGGTGGTCCGTAGATAGCCAAACCCCAACCCCACCGGAATGTTCAGACATCTTTATTGCTGCCGCCCAGATCCAAACGATATTTCAGCCTTTTTCGATGCTTGAGTCTCCATGACACCATTGTAAGCGCTCACTGGGAAAATCGTGCAAAACCATGCGTCAGCTGCACAGCTGTACGTGGTTTTCAGCATGCCGTACGTACACTTTTACGTCGCTTTGGAACCGTGCTGGGTTTTGAAACGCGTCTATTATTCAAACCTGGATGCTTACGACGACGATCCCACGTTCGGATGACGTCATCAGTGGTGGTCCGAACATTGTCTTTGTGTGGGACCGATCTGAGTCTTCTTCGGAGTGACACCCGTCTGGCGTGGTCTGTGTCACTTCAGTGGAGACCAAGTGCTGGCCTGTTCCGCAAAGCGAAATTACAACTTTCGTAGTTTTTCAAATGTTTGGTATAAGCTTTCGGGCAGGGAAGTGATCAGTTTACTCTGAAATTGATTTGAGGCCACCGAGGAAAAGGACAGCTCGGTGAAGTTAGAAAGTTTATGGCCAATACGTCTGCGCATTAAGACCGACAAATGCCTAAATTGTAATTTTACCTGGGGAAACAGGCAAGACCTTCCGTGTGCATAGGAACGGGAACGAGCTTCGAACTGGACACCGCAGATGTGGTGATGTTTATTTCTGGGCCAGCTCGAAATACCCCAAAGCTTAATCTCTTTTGCGGAACAAGGTATACCATACCACTGCCGCTGAACTCGGTCGCACCGCCACCAGAGTGCCTCGTCTTACTGATGAAGTCAGCGGCATGCAGGGTTCTGCGCGGCACGTCAGCGTCCCCACATGACCGACTTGGGGCGCGCCGGTTTTTCAGACTTGCCGGCACTCGCTTGTGGTCCCTTCGCCGACCGCCTCCACGGCCAGATAGTGCTATCTTGTATGCCTTGGCCTGTGTCAATAGAGAGTATTTGCCATTCACATGAGCCAATATTTAGGGTGGGCGAAAGTCGCGGCGCGGACGGCCGCGGGTGGCGAAACGCAGGATGTGACGCCGCGTCCGGCCGGCGGGCCGCCGCCGCCGCCAGAGGTCCCAGGGCCGCCGCCAGGGGTCCCAGGGCGGCGACCAGGAACACCGGACCCGCCGTCAGGGATGGCAGGGTCACACTACGAGCCTCAAGACCGCGTCTTAGGTTCACGGGCAGTATCAGGTATACAAGGGTTCGTTCAGGTGTTGAAGGGCCGCGATTAGCAGTAAAATAACCGCGTTAGAGATGCAAGAGCCTCCGCCATTAGCAGTATGAATGCCACTATCGGGTGTGAAAGGACTATATCAAATTGTCCAAATTGCGTTTAAGGATAGGCAGTTCATGGCTCATATCGACAACTCAGACCACTAAAAAGCGGTCCGGACCAGCACCGGACCTGCTGAGGCCGGTACCAGGCCTTGGAGGTTGCCCTGAGACCTTGTGTGGCGTTGCTGGGGACGGGCGTGCCAGCAGCGGGCAGCCGTGCCGATGCTGAGCCGCCCGCGTCGATAACACGGCATCCGCGGGGCTTTATTGGTGCGCACCGCATCTCCGGCTATCTCCGGCGTGGATTGGCGCTTGATAGAGCACGCACCGCGCGCGGCGGCACCGGCCGGCCGCCGCTGACCCCGCCCCTGCCGTCTGTCTCGCCGCCAGAGGGAGCTACTGAGCCTGCGCAACCAGCTGCGCGATGTGGAGGAGGAGCGATACCTGTCGGGGTCGGGGCGCACCACGCCGCCCGACCCCGACCCCTACCCGGACCCGTTCGGCGCGTCGTCCGAGCTGGACGACCTGCTGGGCGCCCAGCAGCGCGTCAACCAGCTGACGGCGCGCGTGGCCCAGCTGAGCAAGGAGCGCGACCAGCTGCTCAAACAGGTGAGCGGGCAGCGTGTCCAGCCCGACGGACGCGGAGAGGGGGCGTGGGGTGAGTCCATGCCGGCGAGCAGGGCTCAAACGGCCCCGAACGCGTGGGCGGGGTGAGCGACCATCTGGGGGAGAGCGCGGAGCCTGGTGCGGTGTGATCAGGGAATATCATTCACAGGTAAGTGGTTTGGTGTTGTCCAGTTTAGCTGTGTTGCCGGGCATCAGAGGGCATCGGGCATGCCTGCGAAATGCTGGATATAATGCCGCTGAATTTCCCAAGTCTTGCTGAAGCAATTTGAAGCAATTCCCTTCATATGATTTCACATGACTCGTTACATTCCTAACCTTTAAACCGGGTTTATCCCTGTCGTGGTTGCTGCTTAAGAATGACTTGGCTGGAAGTCAGCCACTTGCCCGCAGTCCTGTCGGAAATCAGTTCTCCTTTGATTCAACCACTTATCGGTATTCCTGCAGTTCATGATGAAGGGTTTATCGATGGGGATTTTTTTAACGACGTGATAGCATTTTGACTTCATCGGTACCGTCACTGGTGGCGTAGATCGGTGATCTGTGACGGAGGCCGGGCGTGAGGGTCTGAGTCGCGAGCCATCTTGCCTCGCCGCCGCGAACCGCCGCGCCTCGCTCGTCCGGCAACGTGTCCGTGCATCTGCGATCCGCCGGTAATTAAACGCGGCGTCGTCGAGCGTCCAAGTAAAAACCAGCTGGCCTTCGGCGGCCGGCGGGGCTGCTGCGCTCCGAGACTGCGGCGGATCAGAGGCAAAACTGGAAGGAGGAGCGGATTACCGGCGCTGAGCCGCCGCGGCACGACACGGACGGCTGACCGCCGACCGCCGACCGAGCCAGGCCGGGCCAGGCGGCGCGATGACGGAGCCGGGCGCCGCGGCGGCCGGGCCGGACCCCGCGGCGGCCGAGCCGGGCGCCATGCCGGCCGAGCCGGGCCCCACGGCGGCCTCGGTCGCGTGCTCAGACGCCGCAGCCGGGGCTGGTTGGAGCGCTGATGCTGGGCTGGTTGGGGCGTTGCTGCTAGGCTCGCGCCAGGGGCTTCTGAAGGCCGGGAGGTAGCAGCGCCGTGCTGGACTTCGCCGGCGACTGCTGGTGAAGCGCTGCCGCCGGGCGGCTTCTGGACGGACGGTTCGCAAAGTGCACTTCGGGGCCCTGGTGGCAAGGGCCACGACACCGCTTGATGATCCACCTGACCTGCCCTCGCGATAGAAGGCGGGTTGAAGGCGCCGGGCCGCTGCCGCTGAAGTGAAGGGTATGTGGGGATTGAATAAGGTTTCCCCCGGCAGCCCCGTCGACCGCCGGCGGGGCCCGCTCAAACTCGACAGTCGGCGCCGGTTTGTGGGCGCCGCCGGCCGCGAGGAAGGTGACAGGGGGGAGGGGAGGCGGACGTGTTGCGCCCATTTACACGCGGCCCCTGTAAACAATGCGGCGACACACCTGGCGAGGCGGGAGCAATGGCCCGCCGCTCCGACCCCACAAACACGTGTGACGGCCGTCGCGCCACGTACGGCAAACACGTGTGACGGCCGTCCCCACCACGTCCGGCCGACGGCCTGGCGGCAAAAACGGCGCGGCGGCCGCGAACCCGGCGGCCCGCTAGCACGCCGGGGTCTGCTGTCGGAGCCCGGCGGACCGGCCTCCATTGGTGGGATCCTGGCGGATTGGCCGCAGTTGTCGGATTTATGTTGGATCTAGCGCTGCTGCTCACCGTAGCCTAACGCGTTCATTGTTGTCGCCGCTGTTTTCACAATTCACCTGCGTGAGGACTCGGCGATTGTTGTTTTTTACGATACTTTCAATATAAGTTGTCATTCGCTTTGTGCTCCCTCTCACTGGTGGCAGGGGGGTGGGGGACGCAGTGCAATACCAGCCCGTTAGCCAGGTACGAACCGGTGCACGGCTATGGGCAGGCGCAGACGGCGTTCTCGTCAGGCATCTCGTCTGTTTCCTGTTTCGCAACGTAGACTGTCCACTTGCCAGAGCGTTGTGAAATTGCATGGCGTTGGTACGAAAGCTTGAATTCCATGTTCGACGTACCGCCCCTTGGTATTGCCATGCCAGCCATCGCTTCGTGTCCGGCCTGCCACCTCCCCCGTTGGCTCCACTGATCGGCGTCATTGCGGTCATACATGCTCCGAAATCGCCCTCAGCATCGAGACGCAGCGCCACGCGACCGCGGTCGGGGGCGTCTGGCACGTGACGTCACCCGCGTGCACCTCGACCGGCGAGACTGCCGCGTCTCGGCGCCATTATCGATCCGGAATGCGTGTCTTGTGGCGCCCAGGTGTGCCGGTCCCAGCTGCCGGCGCGGCCCGCTCGTCTCCGCCGCGGCACGGGCGCAGCGCGCACGTGTCCCCATCGGCGCGTCCGTTGGGCATCCGAGACTGGCGCCCCTCAGGGACGCCGTCCTCACTGCCAAAGTTTTCTTCCGATCGGAATGGACCGCCGCACATTTCATCCGCTTGACGGCGAAATCGTTGCATGGGACGTGATCTGAGCTGGAGGCGGCCGTTGCGCCGGCATAGCTGGCGAATCTGAAACGTGTCGTTCCCAGGCTCCGGCTTTGTGCAGGCCGGAGCGGGGGCTTTTCCGCGATTGCTATCGGGTTTTTGAAAACGGCTTATGCGGCCGTTGACTGGAGAGATGCCCTTGCACTGTGCGGCTGAATTCTGCGGCCCTGCCTCGGGCCAATCAGCCGGCTTTCGTGACGCTGTGGCGTGCACCTCGTGAGGCAGGCAGCGACGCCCTTCGGCTGGGAAATGGACCTGCTGCTCGCAGCGGGAGCCTGTTGGCACAAGCTTCAGCCGGCGCGCGCCGTATGCTCGCGAACAATGCGAGGATACCAGATTCTGGCGCCGGAGCGATGGGAGTGCGTTGTGCGCAGCGGCGCCGCCCTGGACGCTACATCACGCGCTGGCCTCGGGCCGCGACGTCGGCGGCTGTGCTGCGGGCCAGGCCAGCGCCAGGCGTGGCTGCCGCGGCGGCAGCAGCTGCCATGACCGCCGCGGCCGCCGCTTCCCGCGCCCGGCTGTTTCGCAACCGGAGTCAGAGCGGCATCGGCTGGTTACCGAGTCGGAGCGGCACCGGATGGTTACGGGAGTCGGAGTGGCACCGGATGGTTATTGGAGTCAGAGTGGCACCGGACGGTTACCGGAGTCAGAGTGGCACCGGATGGTTACCGAGTCAGAGCGACACCGGATGGTTACCGGAGTCGGAGTGGCACCGGATGGTTACCGAGTCGGAGCGGCACCGTATGGTTACCGGAGTCGGAGCGGCACCGGATGGTTACTGGAGTCAGAGTGGCACCGGACGGTTACCGGTGTCAGAGTGGCACCGGATGGCTACCGGAGTCGTAGCGGCACCGGATGGTTACCGGAGTCAGAGCGGCACCAAATGGTTACCGAAGTCAGAGTGGCACCAAATGGTTACCGGAGTCGCAGCGGCACCGGATGGTTACCGGCGTCGGAGCGGCACCAGATGGTTACCGGAGTCAGAGTGGCACCGTATGGTTACCGGAGTCGCAGCGGCACCGGATGGTAACCGGCGTCGGAGCGGCACCAGATGGTTACCGGAGTCGGGGCGGCACCGGATGGTTACCGGCGCCGGAGTGGCACCGCATGGTTACCGGTGCCGCAGCGGCACCGGATGGTTACCGAGTCGGAGCGGCGCGCTGCCGGAGCCGGTGCGGTGCCGCTGCGGTACGTCGCCGCGGCATGCCGCTGTTTGCGGGCCGTGTGGACCGCCGACACGTGACGCGCAGACGGGCCGGCGACGTGGCGTGTTTTCGGCAAACATTTATCGAACCGCTATCGGAGCGACGGAGCGGGAGGGGGGGGGGGGGGGGGGGGCGCACACCTGGGCCGCCAGTGTGAGACGCCAGCAGAGGGGGAGTGCGCCGGCCGACAGCCATACGTGGCGCCGCCAGAGCGGGAGCTGGCCAGGCCACGTCGCCGCGATAGGACGGCCCAGGCCAGACTAGGCCACGCCGCCACGGTAGGACACGCCACTCGCTCTGCAAACGGTGATGGCGGCCGGGCTGGAATGTCGGTTTTAGCGCGGTTTGGCGTTGTGGTGTATGGTGCCTTCTGTCGGTTGCCTAGCTCTGAGTACATGTGGGGTGCCGTTTCCGAGGCTACCAGCTCTGTTGACGTCGGAACCTTATATGAACTGAACCAGGGAAGGCATCAGGGAGTGTTGTATAACCCGCAAAAAGTAGTGGGATAGAGACCTTAAATCTGAAACGCCTTCTGCGAGGCCGCGTGGCTGACATTCGCGACTTCCCGGCGGACTCAGGCTTGTGTGCAGGATGTCACAACGTGGTGAGAGCGGAGCCGGGACTCGATTGCATAATTGAAATGTTAGCGTCGCTTTTTTGTGGCGAACCGTTCTGTGTGTTTGCGACCATTTGTCGGCATGTGCTCTGCGCACGCCATCAAACTGGACACGCGAGCAGTCGGATTGAGAACCGCCTGCACGTCGTTCCCATTGGAAATGGCCCCCCCGCGGTCGACTCGGACGCGCCTCAAAACCAATCCGCTCGGTCGAAATCGGATTGTGTGCTAAAGCTTGCTTCGAGATGGATATTGCCCGATTGGAGATCGTTCAGCACACCCTCGCCCTCGGCCTCTGAGCGCTCAGCTCGGGGCGACGGTCAGCTCGACGGCTGCCGGGGCAGGTCTTCACCGGAGCCGTGTGGTACGGACAGTGTTAATCCTGCGGGGGGGGGGGGGGGCGGCCCGGCCGACGGACCGCATCAGGTCGGCCGCGAGCGCGTCCCGCGAGATTGGCAGCGGCCGCTGCACGTCGGGCGGCTGCAGAATGCAGCGGCCCAGTCTCCCGGCCAGTCTTTTCCTGGCGAGGCGGCGACTTTCCCTGTTGGTCGGCATGTGGAGCGGATCGCGTCCGCGTGCCGCCGGCGTGGGCTCGCCGGCCGGCCGGCGGTCCCGTCTCGGCCCGCGGCGCCGCGAGGCTCGCCCCGGCGCGGCCGGGGTTACGTCCGCTCACTGCCCCGCCGAGCAGACGGCGCAGCTCGAGTGCCGTCCGGCCCGGTCCGGAGTGCCGTCCGGCGCCGCTCGGGCTACGCCGGCACACCGCTCTCAGAGGCGCCGGTCGGCCGCCGGAGCGGGGGCGGCGCTCGACGGCCGGGGCGCCGGGGTCGCCATTCGCCCGTGGGGTAGCTTCCTGGCGGCCGGCTTCCTCGACAGGCGTTGCGTCACCTGCGAACCCGTTTTCCTTCTGCGCTGCACGGCGAGCGCCGGCCGCCGCCGCAGTGCCGCGCCGTCTCCGGGCCCGGAGAGGCGCTGGCGGACGGCGCGCCGGGGCGGTGGCGCCGCTCCCGGCGGGTGTGACGGGCCAGTGCCAGCCAGCCGGGCCCGGTTGATCGCCGCCCACCACCGACGGGCAGCGCGAGCCGGCCGTGTCCAGTAAGTCGATCGGGCGCCGGTATGCGCCGATGGCAGCCCCATTGTCTGCGATTGTGGCGCAGCTGCTCTGGCCGCTCCCGGCTCTGACGTGACGTTGGTGTGCTGTCGACAGGCGGCGGCAGCTGTCCTCTCGGCGATTCTCGTAGTTGTCCGATTGGGAGGGTTTGGGCCTCGTTGCGCGCATCCATACCCCGTGTGAGATTGTCTCTGCGGACTTGTCAAATTCTGCAAGCGTTGTCTCGACGCTTTTGAAGGGCTGGGTTTGTGTCCTTCAGCCTTTTACGAGCCTATATGAATACAAAGAGGTCATTATTTGACACCAAATGTAAACTGCACGAAAAACAGGATAGATGCGCGAAACCAATGAAATGACATGAAGTCCATCAAAAAAGCCGGCAAATCTTACTGTGGAAGCGCTTTTGCTTCGTCGCCATGCATTTAGTTGTCAGTTCAGGTTCATGGCAGTTAATGACATGGTCCCGTGGAGTCAGCTCGGCGTACATGAAATAACGAATAAGTACATTATGACAAAAAAATGTTTACACATAAAACTTGACCGGATGTTTTGGCAGAGCTGGCGACAAACGAGGGGCTGTTCCCGTTTATGTCCCAGTTTCGTTCATTTATGAGTTGGTACCGAATTGGGTCACTGCATGATCATACCAGCTCGAGAACAGCCCTCAACAGCATGCGCGTAGGGACGTTTCCACAATGGAGGGCCGCAGCCTTTTCTTCCTGCGCAAAGTTGCAATAATCACCAACGTTTTTTCCAAACTGGGCTAAGGTCAGGATACATAAACTCCCTTTTTCGATATCGGCATCGAAAAGGATTGGCAGCTTGCTGGCTCCAGCCTGCTGCCCTGACTCAGTACTGCTGCAGCGAGCCGGCCGCGGTCGTGCCCGGAGCCGGGGCTCGCCCCTGCTTCTGTTTCCGCCCAGGTCGCGGTCCTTCCCCTGTCGCTGCCGCCGTCTCGCTGCAGTGCTGGCACCGCCAGCCCCGGACCTGCCGCTGCTGGCCCCGGAGCACAATGCGGTGGGGCGGCACGGCGCACGGCGTATGTGCGCTCACGTGCGGCCGGCCGCCCGTTCACGCCCGTACACGGACGTGTCAGCCGATACCCCTCATTATGGGATCAGCCGTCTGCCGGGGAAAAACGCCGCCGTCGACCGACGTGCCGGCTGAAAACACGCGCACACCGCACGCCGCACGCCGCACGCGGCGCCATGGCCGGCCACGGCCGCCGCCGTCCCCTTCACCGGCACCAGCTGGGGCTCCGGCTCCGGCTGCGGCCGCCGGCTCCTCCGCAGCGAGCATTGTTGGAGCCGGCGTTGTGTCGGCGGTGCGGCTGCCTATGGCCTGTATGCAGTTCATGAAGGGCACCGTAGCCAAGCTGTGACTAGTTCCGTGCAGAATTATGGAAAACGCAGTGTTCCCATTCCATCTGTCCTTTTTATCATGAACACTTTTGTGTTACGTGACAAGGAATATTGCTCAAGAGTTGTCGTTGCCCCCCCCCCCCACATCTTTAAGTGAGTTCCGGTGTCCCAGCGTTGGAATCTAGTGACGTTATCAGTGAGGAATCTGTGAGCGACTTGCAATGTACATAGCCCGGGGGAGGTGGTCTTGACTTGCACACGTTTGAAAGCGTGTGTCATAGTTTCCTGCTGTGGAAAGCAGCATCTGAATGGGTATTTCATTGTAGTATATACTCAGTTATCATGTCCATTCAGGATGTTAACCAAATTGCTCATCGCACGGATATACCTGATCTGAAAACGGACATTTTCCAACTAACGAGGCGTAGACCCTAATTCATACACCGACCAAACTGGTCCAGAGCATTCCCTGGCTTAGGGCGCAGACTTGTGACACCGCAATGACGTTTTTGTCCGGCCGGCATCGAATGGCCAGTGCGACTCCCACGGCGGATTGCCCTCGACGCCACCTGAAGTTTTCGCTGTTCAGGTGCGGCGGATGCTCTCCTGGGCACCGGCGGCAGCTATTGTGAGGCGCTGCCCCGCCGGGGCGTGCTGGCAGTTCCGGCCGCGACGTCTGTGGGCCCCACCGTGACCGGCCACCGGCTCGTGACGGTGCCGCCCCGACCGGCGGCCGGCTGGAGGGGGGGGGGGGGGGGCACGGCCGGGGACGGGTCCGCCCACGAGAGCCGTCGTCCTGTCGCCGTCCGCCGGGCCGTGTCCGAGGGAGTGTGTCGTCCGCCGGGCCGTGTCTGGGAGGACTGTGCCGTCCGCCGGGCCGTGTCCGAGGGAGTGTGTCGTCCGCCGGGCCGTGTCTGGGAGGACTGTGCCGTCCGCCGGGCCGTGTCCGAGGGAGTGTGCCGTCCGCCGGGCCGTGTCTGGGGGGACTGTGTCGTCCGCCGGGCTGTGTCTGTGTGAGTGTGCCTGGCTCCGGGCCGTGTCTTGATGCAGTGTGCCAGGGAGGGCGCGGAGTGAGTGCCGGGGGCCGGCGCGCCCGTCCGACGGACGGTGCCGTGTCCGGGGAGTGTGCGGAATGAGTGCCGGGAGCCGGCGCGCCCGTCCGGCCGGCGGTGCCGCATGTGAGGTCGGTGACGCAGCGCCTCGCCCGCCGCCGACACACATCCGTACGATCTGCGGCGTGCGGTGGCGCGGCGCGACTGACCGGCCGCTCCTGTCGTGTTCCAGGCGGAGCCCGACCACCATGGCGTTCCCGACCGCGGCCGGCTGCAGGCCAGAGTCCAGGTAAGCGGGGCAACCTGTGACGTCACGTCCGCCGCAGGGCAACACTCCTCGGATCTCGGGGCTGAAAGCTGCGCTATGCTGGTTTTTGTTAAATGCTTGCGGAGTGTCGGATCTTGGGTTGAAACATCGCATGCTCTACGCAATTTTAAAAGCCAGATACAAGGTATGGAAAAGTTAACGTCACACGGGTATTAGTGGCTACCGGCTCTTGGTAATCTGTCGCGGTGTTTGTCACCGACACGACGGTTACTTTCCGTGACGCATCTCCCGTTGGCATTAATGGGATCGGGCTGTTGAAAATTACTTTGGTGGAGTCTTGGTATTTTTGTGAGCATTGAGGTAGCGCTGGAGCAGGCCAATGCACAGTGCAATTAATCAATTGCGGATTAAGCCTGTCGGTGCCAAGCCTCGGTAGAGTTGCCGGGTATGATCGCGCCTTATGATCGCGTCTCTGCTGCTGACGTGACGTATTTCGGGAGAGTCTCGGGATAGCAGCTCACGGCCGCTGTTGGGCGGCGCCGCGGCCGATGAGGGACCGGATGCCGGCGGTGCCGACCTCTGCTCCGCGATCCAGCACGCCGCGCGTCGCTCGGCCGGCCGCTCGCGCGCTGTGGACGGAGCCGCGGCCGGCGGCGAGACAGTCGGCCGGTCTCGGCCGGCGGGCGGGCGCCGCCGGCACGCGGACGGGCGCACGTCGCGTCCTCTGACAGCCGTCGCGCCACAATGGCCGCGGTGGCGGGGGTTTGCCGGTGGCGCTGCGTTCCTGGTCCCAAACACCAGCGACAATGCTGTACGCCCGTTTACCTGTGCGCGGACAATGGTGCGGGCTGACTGGCACGTCCGTGCGCTTTGGGCCACGAGCTGCGGCACGTGCGCCGACAAAACGTGCCATCACGCTCGGGGCCGAGCCGGCGGCTGGTGCAGCGCGCGCCCCTGCGCCGGCGCCCCGCATGCAGGGAGGGGGGGGGGGGCGCCACTTCACGCGGTCCGAGGCGTGCCGCGGCCCACCCGTGGCGAAAGGAGCTCAGCATCTGACGCGGCTCCGCGGGCAAAGTCGCGGGTACGGCTGGAGAGCCGGACGCCTTGCCTCGAGGGCGAGGGGGAGGGGGGGCAGCGTCGACCGGCGCAGCCCTCGCCTGCCTGGTGTTGTCACCCGCCGGCACGCCCCGCGGCTCTGCTTGGCCCGCGGCGCCGTCCGGACCCTGGGCTCAGGCCCGTCCGGACCCTGACGCCGACATCACGCCATCGCCGTATCACGTCCGCCTGCTGCCGTCTCGGACCAGGCCACGTGGCACGCTCGGCATCTCCGGCTGCGGAGGACACGGCGACCGCCGCGAAATGTCAGCCCGCCAGCGTGCTCCCTTTGTCCTCTTTTCCGGACACATGTCAGGGGGCACCGGTACGCGTAATTGACACATGACCCACCGTCGAGCTCGGACCGACCCTCCGCGATTGACGGATGGCGTTCCGTTGCAAGGTGTCATGTGCTTGAACCATGCTCTTTCCGGCAGGCACATGAGGATCAACGTCATGTTCTTCCACAGTCTTTGTTCTAGTCCCATCGGAATTACCAGCCACAAATCACGCACCGCATTTGTCGGCATGTATCTGGCGAGATGCATAATGCCTTCCAATCCGCTCATCACGTGGTGTTTGGAAAACTTGGGCTAATTTGCGCTGTACCCTTCGTGGGAGATCAGGGGCCGTAGGGCACGTCGCCGGTGTAAGCCGGTCGGCCCGCGCGGTTCCGAAGCGGACACGCAGCGAGTCTCAGCCCGCAGCGCCGCGCGCCTCAGCACGTGTGCCGTCGCACGTCGCGCGGACCAGCGGCCGGCGGTCCGGCGTCGGCCGGTGTCCCCGCCAACCGCGCCGTGCGCATCGCAGGAGCATGCGCGGCGGCGTGCGCCGGGCGGCACACACGGCCGGCGGCGGACCGGGCCGGCTCGGCTCCAGTGTCGGCACGGGGGCCTGTGTACCAAGCTCGCCGTGCCAAACAGCTTTGCCGACGTGGCAGGCTCGGCGCTGGCGGCTCGCCGTTCGCCCGGCAGCGGTCGCCATGGCCGGCTGGACGGGCGTTCCTCTGCCGCCGTGCTGCCACACAAGGCACCGGACGGCGTGGGTGGACTGACGGGGGAGGAACGCAGGCGCAGCGGAGCTAAGCGTGGCGGCGGGGGCTGGGCCGGCCGGCCTCCGGGCCGGTCCGGGCCGGGGCCAGCGCAGCTGGCATCCCCTCCCACGGCCGGCTGTACACTCCAGTTGCCGGGCCGAGCTGGCACGGCCGGCCAGATTGAGTTGCGAAACCGATCGGCACCGGCGACCGTTGGACGCGCGGCGCGTGCCCGCCAGCGGTCCGGCGGCGGCGCCAGCCTCCCTGTCCTTGTCACGTCACGGCGCGCCCAGCGGCGGGCCGCCGTTTTTCTACAGCCGACAACCCGACCGACCGGTTTGCTGCAAAAATCGCCAGAAATTGCGGCGGACTGAAGGTCTGTCTGGCCGTGCGGCCGCCGCCGCCGCCGCCGCCGCCGCCGCCTTTTTCCTCGTGAACCTCCGGCCGGGAGCGTCGACCCTCGACCGTCGACCCGTAGCGCGGCGGCGCACCCTTCCCCTCCCCTCCCCCCCCCCCGGAAAGTGGTCCGCTCCCTCGCTGTGGAACTGTGCGGGTTCTCGCACCATGCGGTGGTCGTTGTCACCGCAAAAGAGCTTGCAGTTCCCCCTGGAGAGATGTTGGCTCTCTTCCCGCACACTGAAGCTCCGGCTCTCCCTGGATGTGATCCCTTTTCGGGACAGTGGCCGCGGCGGCCTCCCTCTAATCTGCCCGCACCACTGTCGGAGTATATCAGTCTGTGTTCTCCGTCCATGTGTCATGTGTCACAATGATGGTTGTCCTCCACCCCCGTACATTATTACGCCCCCCCCCCCCCCTCCCGCCCCCTCCAGGCAGGCATCCACTCCTCTCAGCGTTCGTTGGTTGCCTGAAATCCGAGCCGTGCGGTCGCAGTCATTACGTCCCTTTCAGCACCTGCTGTGCTAATGACGCACTCTGGGACTCGGCTAAACATTGCCTCGGGCGCGGCGACGTTATAATTACGCTGCCATTTCACGCGTGGATCAATTCTATTCAAATTTGAGCGATTGTTCAGCAGTGTGGCAAAGTACCCGCGCGTCCACTGACCCGGCGGCAGATTGTTGGCCTTAGTTGAAGCTTGTTCCCTTAGCCTTTCCGACTGCCTTCCAGATAACCTCCCTCCAGCCATCCCACCAGGTGGAGCTGTGACAACACTTGGTGGCTGCGTGTCCCCTCACTAGCTTGGCTGTTCCAAAAGACCAGTTTTATGTCTTTTTGTTCCGCTGTTGTGTAAAAAGCGGCCTTTTTACTTGTTGCTTCATCGCTTCGTTGCATTCTCCCCGCGCATTGTGCTGATGGAAAACGTCTCCTTTTCTGATTCGGCCGGCATGCTCGGAAGCACTCTCGTTAGTCGCCACTGACTAACGGGCCGCGCATCCGTGCCAGACTGGGGAGGGGCTGCTCTTAGGTTGGCCCGCCGTCGCCCGCGGCGCCGAGCGTTGCCCGTCTCGGCCCAGCCGACCCGCGGCGGCGCCTGTCAGCGCGTCGAGCCCGGGCGTGACCGGAGCGGCCGGGCTGTGCCGCCGCTGGGAGCCGGCGCTCCTGAGGTGGCCGGCCGAGCCGAGCCGGGTCGAGTCGGGTCGGGTCGGCGCGGCGCCGCGTCGGAGCCGGGACCGGACCGCGTGGCCACGTCGCTCCGCCGCAGCCCGACCTCTGAGTCAGCGCACTGTACGCCCCCGGCCGCGCGTGACGTGGCGGCGCGGCGGGCGGTCGCCGCCCGGCCGCCGGCCCGCCGGCACCGCCCCGACGTCAGCCGACTCGCCGACCTTTCCGCCGGTGGCTGGCGTGGGTGACTGTGGTCCGGTGACTCAGGTGACCGTACCGATGACGTCACCGCGGGGTGCGGGCGCGGGTGCGGGAGCCTGGCGGCCTCCCCCGGTGCGCCTCACCCTGCCCCACGCTCAGCCGAGCCCCGGCGAGAGGCGCCGCCGTCTGTTTTCTTCTTGCGTGTTGCGTGAGGTGGAAGTGCAGCTTTTATCGTCCTGAGATGTTTACGAGCAGCGCTGGCACGTGATGAACGCTTTCGTGGCGGCCTAACATGCCGGCCTTGGCGCCCAGATTACTGGACGGGGTGAATTACCTCGCCTTTGCAGTGGTCCCTGGCGGCCATTGCATGCCGCCGGTGGCCCGAGCCTTTGTATCCGCCGCCGCACCTCCGATAGTCCGCTGATTCGGGCCGGGCGGACCAGACCTGGGCGAGGCCCGCCGGGCGCGACGGTCCTGACCAGGGCGCCGCCTCTCGCCAGGAGCTGGAGGCGGAGCTGCAGCAGGCCGTGGACCGGCACCAGGAGCAGCTGTCGGCGCTGCAGGACAGCCACCAGCAGCAGCTGCAGCAGCTCAGGGCTTCGGCCGACACCGCAGGCTCGCGGCAGGTGAGCAGCACGGTGCCGGGCACTGCGAAACAAACGCTTGTGTTTGGGCCACCCAGCTTTTACGTATATTTTTCCGTCATGCCCTTCCCACACATTTGGTGTTGGCGTCGCTCAGTGGCCCGTGATCCTCGGGCCGGTCTGTCGGCGCGTCGAGGCCCGGCGCCCTCTGGTGTTGGGCTGTGACGCCAGGGGCCGTGACGTCATGGGTCGGCGTGGCGTCGGATGGCGGCGGCCACACGCTCGTCGCCCGCCGCCGCCGCCGCCGCCGCCGCCGTCGCCCTCGATAAGATAGCGCTGTGCGCCAGGTGATGCGTTCCCGCACCAATATCGCGGCCCGTACCAGGGGAGGGCGGCGGGGCACCGTGCGGGCGGCCCCCTCCCCGTCCCGACCAGCGGGCGCTCTGCCTCAATCGATCGGTGAGCCGGTGCACACCTGTATCCATTAATGCAGCCCGCATGTTTTATCAGCTGACAGTGCGGCCCAGGCTCGGCAGCAAATGCAGATGGAGTATATCAGCTGCGTCAAGTGGTGCCACTGTGTGGCAGGCGACAGCTGGCGGTGTTGTCGCGGCCACGTGCCGTCCGAGACGGCAGGCCTTTTATTGGCTTTCGATCTCTGGCCTTGGGTTTATGTTTCTCTAACGTTTTAGACTGAAACGTGATCCAGATTGTTATCGTTTGTGCACAGTGGCGTGCTGTTTTTGTACGCGAGGGGCCATTTGCGTTCCCTCAGTTGTTAATTGGAGGAAGGGAAGAGTGGGCACACAGTTCAAATCACTATCGAATTCTATGTCCAAAGCAAAACACTGGAGCATGCGGTCCAATGCCGACATCCGTCTATGTTCAAAAGCAAAAGTGGCAAAAGCAGCAAGTGTTCAAAAGCATGCACATAGCTACTTCCTGATCTAGCGGACTCAGACGCATTTTTCCCGGGCCTTGTGACATGCCTCCCTGTCTGGAGAGCTCGGTGACGTGAATCCCTGTGTCGAGTATCGATTGTCGTGTTTCCCTGTTCAGGTGACTCAGTGACGTGTTTACCTGCCCAGGGGACTGAGTGACATGCCTCCTTATCCAGAGGGTTCAGTGACGTGTCTGCCTGTTTGCAGGGCTGAGTGATTTGTTTCCGTTTCTAGACGGCTCGGTGGCGTGCGTCCCTATCTCGGCGTGTCTTCCTGTTCGTAGGCTTCGATGACGCGTGCTCCCCTCGGAGTTCTCAGTAGCGTGACACCCCGTCGCGGTGAGGGAGGGAGGGAGGACGGGGCAGGTGCTGACGGCGCTGTCACCGGCCGCAGGGCGATGACGAGGCGGTGCGTGACGCGCCCGACGGCGGTGCCACTCAGCCGGTGGCCGCCGGACCCGACGCGGACGCGGTCGGCGCCCGACTGAAGCAGCTGGCCACCGAGAACGAGGACCTGCTCACCAGTCTGCAGAAGATCACTGCTGAGAGAGAGGCACTCAGTGCCAGCCTGCAGGAGCGGACGGCTGAGAACGACCAGCTGCTCAAAAGCCTGCAAGATGTGTCTGCCGAGAGGGACAGCGTCAGCGCCAGGCTGCAGGAGCTGGTTGTCGAGAAGGACGAGCTGCTGGCCAGCCTCAAGGAACTCGACGTTCAAAACCAGGCGGCCAATGGTAAGAGCGATTTAGTCGGAAATGAACGCACGCTCCGGTTTTCCTCCCGTTTCCATCCCATCATTACGAGGGCATAGAACTGCCGCTCCAGAGCACAGAGGGCGCTGGCTGCATTTCAAAGGAGCGAAAATGATCCGCCGAGTAGCTTAATCAAACCTAGTTGCAAGTGTAGGCGAAGCTTCGTGTTGGGGTCGCTCAGTGACCTGAACGCATCAGAAGGGGGTACGCCGACAGATGCGCGGGCTTTCCCGAGCACGCTGACGATAAACTTTCCTGAGTACCCGAGTACCGCTGGCAGGCGGGCGGGGCCCTGTGGTCAGATTACTGCGCCCTAATGAATCGACCGACGCGCCTATCGTGTTTGGACGCGGCGATACGCTATCGGCTCTAATGACGCTTGACGCCGAGGGCCGCGGCCCCAGCCCGGCTGCCGGCGCGAGCGGTCCGCCGCGAGTTCTTGCCTGTTCCCGTGCTTGGCGTGCCCAGATCCCGAACGCCGGAGGCGGCGCTCACAGTCGTGCCCGTCGACGGCGGCGCGGCCGTGCAGCCGGGCCGTCGTCCCACCCCGAGCGCGCCCTGCGGCCGGGCGGCAGCGCTCGGTGCGGCGGCGCCGCGGCTGGCGGCCGCAGCTGCGGCTGTGACGCGCGGCACCTGTGGCGGCGCCGACGGCGCACCTGGGGCGCGGCGCTGCTGACTCACGGCCGCCCGGCCTCCGTTACAGACCAGGTGCAGCGGCTGCACGCTGATGCGACGACACGGGCGGCCGCCGCCGACGAGCTGGGCCAGCAGCTGCTGAAGAGCCAGCAGGACGCCCGTCTGCTCGAGCAGGCCAGGGATGAGCTGGTCCAGAAACTGAAGCTGCAGGGGAAGGAGGCTGCTTCCCTGACGTCAGTCAGAGATGAGCTGCTGGAGAAACTGCGGCAGAAGGAGCAGGAAGCGGCGTCTCTTTTGTCAGCTAGAGATGAGCTCCTGGAGAAAGTGCAGGAGAAAGAGTCGACGGCTGGCGATGAGCTGCTACTTAAATCACAAGAGTGGGAGAGGGAGGCGACTGCACTGGCGACAGCTAGAGATGAGTTGCAACACAGGTTGCAAGAGATGGAGCAAGAGGCTGCTTCCCTGACGTCAGCAAGAGATGAGTTGCTGGAGAAACTGCAACAGAAGGAGCAAGAAACCACTTCTTTGCTGTCAGCAAACGATAACCTTCAGGAGAAAGTGCGGGAGAAAGAGTCGACGGCTAGCGATGAGCTGCTACTTAAATCACAAGAGTGGGAGAGGGAGGCGACTACACTGGCGACAGCTAAAAATGAGTTGCAAAACAGGCTGCAAGAGATGGAGCAAGAGGCTGCTTCCCTGACATCAGCAAGAGATGAGCTGCTGAAGAAGCTGCAACTGAAAGAGCAGGAGACATCTTCCCTGACATCAGCAAGAGACGAGCTTGCAGAGAAACTGCAAGAGGAGTCAACAGGTGGTCAAGAGCTGCTCTTGAAGCTGCAGAATTGGGAGAGAGAGGCGACCTCACTGACGGCGTTGAAAGACGAGCTGCGACAGCAACTGCTGGAGAAGGAGCTGGAGGCTACTTCTTTGAAATCAGCGAGGGATGAGCTGCAGGAGAAGCTGCGACAGAAGGAAGGAGAAGCTGCTTTGTTGGTAAAAGAGACAGAGTCGGCCACCAAAGAGGAAATACAGCAGCATTTGCTAGATAAACAAATGTTTGAAAAGGCCAAATGCGAGCTGGAGCAAAAGATTGCGGAGAGAGATGCTGAAATTATCCGACTGACAGTAAGCAAAGATTCAGTGACTGAGGCATTACAAGAGCACGAGGCGGTAGCGGCATTGAGAGAAGAACTGCTGCAGGCGAGGGAAGTAGAGGTGGCTACTTTGAAGGAAGCGGGAGAACAGGCCATGCTGGAGCTGCGCGAAAAGAGTGCGGAGAAGGCTAAGCTCATGACTGAAGTGGATGAGCTGAAGAGGGCTCTGAAATGTGCTGAGGATGGTCAGAAGGCTACCGTTCTCATTCTGAAGAAATCGGAGGATGCTTTGGAAAAAATGAACGCACAGAACATGGAGCTTCAAGCTCAAAATGACACCCTTCAGACCAGTATCAGCGAGAACGTGCAAAGTCATAAAGCAGTGAATGAAGAAATGGCTGGCCTGAAGACGCGTTTATCTAAATTCGAAAACGAGGGAGTGGTCGTGAAAGAGAATCTATATCATTTAAGCGCAGCGCCCTCAGAACAGTCCCAGACAATGAACGATTCCTCGCAGGGCGGCCAGGAAGCGTTGCTTAGTCGGATCGTGGACCTTGAAGCAATGAACTTGGAACTGGAAGCCGAACTGTCCCGAATAAAAACTGCTGACCTAAATACTGCTGATCACCACTTTTCGGCCGTCGAAGGACAGACGGAAAACGGCCAGCATTTCTCGGGTAACGAGACCGCGATCACCTCTCTCCAGAATCTGCAGACACAGCTCGAGGCGGAACAGAGGCGCGCAGCCGAAGCCAGCGAGCGCTGCTCGGAGCTTCGGTCGCTGAACGACACGCTGCAGGACACGGTCAAAGGTCTGACCGAGCGAGTGGAGTCTCTGGAGTCGGAGAGGGACGAGCAGGATGCGCAGCTGGACACGGCGGAGCCCGTTGCCGCCGAGAACCGGCAAATTGCCATTCGCCTGCTCGAAATAATGACGCTGTTCAACTCTGAGGAGATATACGCGTCCAACTCGTGCACGGCTGCGCTGCTCGACTCGTTGGAGACGAGTCTGAAGGAGCTACAGTGGAGCCTGCAGGAGACGGGCCGCCAGCTGGAGCAGGAGCGGCGCGGCCGGGTCCAGCTGCAGGAGCGGCTCCAGGAGCTGGAGCAGGAGCAGCTGCTGTGCTCCGGCTCGTCGGACAAACTGGAGACGATCAGCGAGGACGCCGAGCGCGTGGCCGAGCTGGAGGAGGAGGTAACGCGACTCCGCCAGACGCCCGACCCGGCGCCGGACAGCGCCGACGCTAGGAGCCGCGAGCCCGACCCGGAGCTGGACCGGCTGGCGGCCGACAGGCACCTGCTCACCAGGCAGCTGGAGGAGACGCGGCTGGAGCGCGACGAGGCGGCGCAGCGGGCGCTGATGCTGCAGGAGCAGCTGGACGCGGCTGACGGCCGCAACGAACAGGAAGAGCAGCTGCGGTACGAGAAGGAGGAGCTAGACATCAAACTGCAGATCCAAGACGCCGAACTTGCGGAGCTGAGAGTCAGGCTCAGGAATGAGGAAAAGAGAGCGGCAGAATGTGCTGAGGAAATTGTAGAACTTTCAAAACTGCACGCCGAGCTCGCGGCGGTCCGTCTGGAAAGGGAAACTTTGTCAAGGAGAGTAAGCATTATGGAGAAAGAGATGCAAGAGCAACATGACAACGCATTGTCAGAAAAGGACAAACTAAATATGTCCATCCAAGAGTCGGATAGGCGGATGGAGAAGCTCATATTGCAGATCGAAGAACAGAAGTCCAAGAACTCAGAAGTGATACGTCAGTTCGAGAGTGTGCACCAAGAGCTGTCGAAGCACAAGGGGGAGCTGCTCACTTCGCAGGAGAAATGTCGCCAGCTGGAGGCCGAACTGGAGACCTGCAGGCAGTCGTCGGAGCAGGCGGATCTCATCACCAAAGCGGAGGTTTCTCAAGCTGGAACCACTGAGGCGCCGGCAGACGCGTCGGACAAGGAGCGCCAAGACGTGGATACCAAGGAGGTGGACGAGGTGGAGGCGGAGGCGGAGGCGTCGCCGGACCCCGGCCGCCTCTCGAGCCTGCTGGAGTCGGCCGACGAGCTGCGCCGCCAGCTGGACGAGCAGGCAGAGGCGCGTCGCCAGCTGGCCGCCGAGCGAGACGTGTGGCTCACCGAGCGGCACCAGCTGATCACGGCGCTCAGCCAGAAGCACGCCGAGAGCCTGCAGTACCACGCTGAGATCCAGCGGCTGCAGGCGGCGCAGGCCGGCGCCGAGCAGGCGCGCGCCGCCGAGCTGCGGGACAGCGCTGAGCGGCACGACCAGCTCACCGCCCAGCTGCAGCTGGTGGCCTCCGAGCTGGCGCAGACGCGCCGCGCTCGCGACGAGGCGCTGGCGCAGGCCTCGCAGCTGCGGCCGGCGCAGGACCAGCTGCTCATCGAGTTGCAGGAGCGTAACGCGGCCATCCAGGATCTGCGGCAGCAGGTGCGTGGGGATGGATGCTGGTTTGAATGCGGGCTGGCACAGCTCGAAGTTGGAGCGCTTATAGTTCATATTAGCCCTTTAATTGTGGTTAGCGTTGATTGCAGTTGCTTTGGCAGCAGTGAGCTCTAACGCTCAGGAAGCGTTTCGCGCCCGTTGTCAATTCACCGTGCAGGTAACTTAATTAACCTGGATCTGTGCCGTTTTCCTGTAGAGTATGATTATGGTTATCTACCGAGTCTGCCGATGGTGTTCACATGACTCAGTACGTTGCTGGCGCGTGCCGGCCGTGACTGGGCCAACGGACGCGGCTGTCCTCCAGCCGCACCCAGTCGGCGCACCTGTTGACTCTCAGCGGCGCGCCCCGCAGGCGGCGCAGCAGGAGGAGACCGAGCGGCGGCTGCAGGTCGAGCTGCGCCGACTGCGCGACCACCTGGTGGCCATCGAGGAAAACTACACGCAGGATGCGCTGAACGCCGAGCAGCGCGAGGCGGCGCTGCGCGAGCGACTCAGCAGCGAGCTGCACCTGACGGCGGAGAGGTACCGGCTCTCCCCGCCGGTGCGCAGGCCCGCCGGCCAGCTCTGCACGGGGCCACTCTCTGACGGTGCAGCTGTCGTCGTTGCTTGTGTGACACTCGGTTGTGTGGCATGCTTCGTTGTGATTCCTGTGGCTTTACTTCGCGTACACCACCATTAAAGCCCCGCACTGCAGTGCTTAGATTCATTTCGGAAGCCCTGCTGATTGGAGGGATGCCCTTCTTCCAGTGAGGCTGCCTCGCAGCAGATCGAGTCACTCCAGGAGCAGCTGACGGTGGTTTCCCACCAGCGTGATGACGTCACTCTGCAGCTGGATGACGTCACACACTCGCTGACGAACCTGCAGCGTGTGCTGGAGCAGTTCCAGCGCGACAAGCGGCGAGAGATCGAGATGGCCACCAGCGCCGCCCAGCGGGAGACGGCGCAACTGACACAGCACGTGGACGCGCTCAAGGCCCGTATACACCGCGCGCCGGCATTCGCCCACCATGTGGGCCCTCCCAGCCGTCAGTTGCCCGCACCATGGCGTCCCCATATGCTGTCGGGGGCAGCCCCTGGATCGGTGTGCTTACGAAGGAAGCACTAGGGGTCCAGGTGTTCCGTAATGAATGGCTGTTATGGTGTTAAATTTCCGGCGGAGACTCGCGTCGTTGTGGTGCTGGCTTGTGTTGTCTGTCTCGGTGCGTCGTTGTTGATAGCCGCGCTCCGTCTTCAGACCCAACTGAAGGAAGCCAGCGAGGGTCTGGCCGCAGCGAACCGGCTCAACGAGCAGCTAGATCGCAAGGAGGAGCTGATAGTGGCTCTGAAGGCGGACGGTAGGTGGCCGGGGAGGCCGTCGGCCGTGTCCCGCGGCACGCTGCGGTGCTGTGCTGGGCCATGACCTGCTGCACCCTGCATTGTCCTTTGGGGTCATGAATCACTGCCACGCATTGCAGCACTGGGCCCAGCATTTCTGGGGCAGGTCAGTGATGACTTCTCTGCATTGGTTCGGTGTTCATAAATCTCCATACCCTGCATTGCCACAGCAGTTGATGAATTTATGTACCCTACATTAGCTGTAGTGGGTCATGAATTATTCCGTTGCATTGTGGCGGTTCATAAACCGGCGCGTCTGGTACGGGTGTAGTGGGCCTTGACCCGCCATCTCCTGCGTTAGTGGTGGGTCGTGACCCACCATCTCCTGCGGGTGTAGTTGGTCGTGACCGACCATCTCCTGCGGGTGTGGTGGGTCGTGACCCACCACCTCCTGCGGGTGTGGTGGGTTGTGACCCAGTGACCTGGCCCGCCACCCGTGAGGCGTGCTGCTCCCGCACGGCCGACCCTGTCGGCCGCGCCGCGCTGGTGCGTGTGTGTGCGTGTTTGGGCTCGGCTTATGCGAGGGCAGCGGCGGACACCTGCCCGTCCGTACGATGGCGGGGCGCGCGCGGCGCCGCCGGCCGTCGCTCGAGTGATGCGCCGGGCCGTGTGTGGCGCGAGCTCGGGTGTGCGCGGGCATGAGCGACCAGCTCCGTGGCGGGGCTTCGGCGCGGCTGGCAGCTGCGACGGCCAGTTCGGGACGTCTCCACCAGAGGCGCTGCTGTCCGCTGGGCGTGTACAAATATCAGCAGGTAATTCTGGGATGACTTGACTAAGCCCAGGTACCTGACTGGTATATGTGCAACCCGAGCTGGGTGCCGGCATGTCACCTGACCCGACCTCACCTCACCTGGGGCTCAGCAGATCGCCTGCAGTTGGTCTCCGAGTTAGTTACCGAACGCTTGCTGTCATACGACATTTGGCTTTAGTGTGATCTACATCGCCTCATGCTTGGCTTAATATCTCGTTCCTGCTTTGTGCACGGAGGCCGAGAAATGAGCCTTGCGCGCAACCTCCGTTGTTTCATCACGCAGGAGCGTCGGTGTCAGCTGCGCGCTCTCAAAGGCGGCGAAGCTCACCGCTCGCCACCGACCCTTAGCGTCCGAGCAGCGATAGCCCCGTCAGTCGGGTGTCCAGGCCTGCCGTGGCACCCCCTCTGGCCACCGCTCCGCTTACGTGCCCTCCGAGCGCCGCCATCCCGCCGTGACCGCCTCCTGCGCTGCCCCGCTCCGGCCGCTGCTGCACGGATGGAGGCCGAGGCCGCGCCGCTGCGCCCTCCCTGCTGTAGTTGCCTGCTTGCCTGCATGCGTGCATGGTCTTGGGCCGCGTGCTGAGTGATGTGGTCTTTTCCTGGTGTCGGCAAGAGGCGCGGTATACTTCATATCCCTGAGACGGCCGTGGTGGCTGCGGGTCCGGGTACGAATTGGCCTCTCAGGGAAACGCCTGTGGACCAACAAACATCATGATCCTTGCTTTCTCTTTTTGAGATGCAAAAACTAGGATTTATTGTCGTTTAAGACAGCGTTAAACTATTGGCCGTGATTGTGAAAGTTCGCCAATAGATCGGTTCTCTGGCCGGATTTAGCTGATGCACATTTCTAATTCGCATTTCTTTAGTGACCCGGTTATCAGTGCCGTCCAGTCGGCCCCTTCCCACCCGCTGTCGGGATGAGTCGGCCCCGGTTTATGTCCGGGCTGGCTCCGGTGGCCCGGTCACGTGCCACACTCCCCCCCCCCCCCCGGTCTGCGTACGGCCGCATGTGTCGCCGACGCAGCGCCCGTCGCCCGCCACCGCTGCACCCGTATCCGTGTCCGCGCGCCGCCGCCGCCGCTGCTGCACGCGCCACGGACCGTGCCGGCGCGGGGCTAATCTCACATGGTAACGCTGAGCGATGCCGACTCGGCGGACCGTGTGGGGTGCGTCTCGGGCCCGGCCCGCTCGCTCTGCGCTGTCCGTCCGTCCGGCCGTCGCCGCCGCCACCGCCGCCACTGCTGCTGCCGCCGCTACCGCCGGCGCTCCTCGCTCTCGCTCTCTGTGGCCACCCGCCGCGACTGTCCGGCGCGGCGCGGCGGCGGGCAGCTGTCCGGTCCGGTCCGCGCCGTCCGTTGCCATGCGACGGCCCAGGCGTTCGTCTCTGTCTCTGTACATATGAATCGGTCGCTGGCTTCGCAATCCGGCGGCTGCACACATCGCAGACCGCTGCTCAGGCCGTGGTCCTGGCCTCTGGTGCGTGCAAAAAGCGGCAGCGCGCTTTGTTCAGTTGTAAGCTACGATGCTTTTGGTGAAGGGAAGTCAGTGACGTGTTGGTGAACCAAGTCACAGTTCTCACGTGGTGGCTGTGGAGCACCGTGGACTCGGTCAGCCTCTGAACTAACGTAAACGATATCAGGCGGTTCATCTGCCGTCCAGACTGGTTTCCGAGAGGGGTCAAACAAGGAACTCGCTCGGTGTCCCAACTGTTTTGAGCACGTTTGTCTGTGTATAGCCCGCTCTTACCACTGCTATTCGTGCTTTGTGTACAGTGTATGTGTCTCGTAGTAACCACCGCTCGTCATCCCGTAACTCACTGACATGCATGCCCCGGGCCTGTCCAAGAGGTCACACCCCCGGTAAAGCACTTCATGTGACTAACTACCCCCTCCCCTCCCCCTCTCGTGCCCCTGGCGATCGGCGACCTCACGCCCAGCACGACGCCGGTACACTCGCCCGGTTTATTTCGATGTCGTAGGCGTCAGCATGCGCTCATTGTCAGTCGCACCCGAATGGCGCCGTCTGCTCGTAGTCGGCCGTTGGCACGCTCGGAGCGCGCGCCGCGCGTGCGCGGGTGTGAATCGCGCGCCTCGCGAGCGAACGCGCCGCATCTGCACGCCGTCCGGCGACGACGCACGGCCTGGCATGGGGGCCGGCTGCCCGCCCCGGACTGCGTAGATCTGAGTATTACTTCAGGTACTGGATGACTCGATCTCAGTGTCGAAGCAATGCTCGGACTCTGCGACGGTCGTCGGCTGCGTCTGCGCATCCGAGAGTCCGCCCGCCGCGGCTCGCATGGTCGAACAGCTCAGCCAGCCGGGCTGTGCCGCGCCCGCCCGCCCTCTTATTTTGGGTTCTGCCATTTTGTGATACTGTGTAATTTGACTAGTAGCCGCATCAGTGTTCGCCTATGTTAATGGTTTGGCATGTACTGTGATGTTGCGTTGATTGTATTGATTGTTCGGCATGCGCTGTTATATTTTATGTTAAGGGTGTTAATTGTTTGGCATGTGCTGCCATATTTTGCGAGTGACGTTTTATCGTCTGCCTTAATGTAAGGCGTACGCGATTACTGTTCATTCTGTCGTCGTTGTGTCTAGCTGCTTTGTAAGCTCACTGTCGACATTGTCCTCATGATTTAAGTCACATTACTCATGCAACAATATCCCGCCTGTTCCGGGGATGACACGTACGTTAGCGGATGTCTGCTTGGTTATATGAAAAGGAGTAGGGTTTGCTGCGGCCCATAAAAGAGTGACAGCGGACAGCGCGCGAGAATGGGCTTCGGATAATCACTGAAACTGCTGCTTACGCTAGTAACGAAAGCAACAAAACTGTATGGCTGTTCGAGGTAGGTGAAGGTAGCTTAAGTCACGCAGTGCATCCAACATTGCTTAGCAAGTATTGATTTGTCATTGTTATTCATACTGCAAGTAACCGAAGTAATTGTGAAACATTGCGATTGCGCACGATGTGAATCATTGTTCTTCTAAATAGATGTAAGTTCGAAGCGCTTTTAACGTGGTTTGTGTTATCCATGTACAGCCGTGCTACACGGGCACCGGCTGTGGGGGTTTGTTGTTTGCGCCGGCTGCCGCCTGGCGCCAGCTCCGGCGCCGGCTGTGGGTGGGAGAGGGGTTAGTGAGCGCGCCCGCCACCGTCTGGCGCCAGCTCCGGCGCCGGCTGTGGGCGGGTCGGGGAGGGGTTGGTGTGTGCGCCCGCTGCCGTCTGACGCCAGCTCCGGGCCCTATTCCAGTGGAAGCCAAGGTGGACGCCATGGTACGTCTGCAGGCAGAGATGGAGGAGCTCAAGGGCAACACGTCCGGAAAAGTTGACAAGTAATGACCAGGCCGGTCGGCGTTCCGTTCGCAGCCAGTGGTTTCGTTGTGGGACATTTGAAAGTTGGCCCATTTAGGGCTCCTGAATCTGCCGTCAGTTCTGGTTTTTCTCGCCGTGCTCGCAGTTGCAGCTGCGAGCCTTTGTGTGCTGTCCGCCATTCTGCGGAGCTGTCCGGCGCTTGTCATGCCCCTGCAGCTCCAACTGGCCGGCCGCCCCCTGTGGCGGCCCGTCTGCTGCCATCGCGGCGGCCTGGTCGGCGCCCCGTGCCCTGCTCGGGTGGGGGCGTGCGCTGTCGACCGTGTCTTCGGTGTCTGATCCCTGATTTGACCTCCGCACCGCCGCCGCCGCAGGTCGCTGGTCAAGAACCTGGTGGTGGGGTACGTAGCGGCGCCGGCCGGCCACGAGCGCGAGGTGCTGCGCGTCATCGCCACCGTGCTCGACTTCTCGCGCGAGGAGCGCGCGCGCGCGCGGCTCGACCCGGCGCCGAGCGCGCCCGGCCCCGGCCCGGCCGGCGCGTCGCTCAGCCAGGCGTTCGTACGCTTCCTGGAGGCCGAGTCGACGCCGCGCCGGCCGGCCACGCTGCCCGCGGAGAAGATGGCGCAGGAGGCGGTCCGGCGCACGGAGGCGCGCACGCACCGCTCCCAGGTGAGCGGCACCGGCCACACCATGCCCGGGGGGCGGGGAGGAGGATCGGCCCGGGTGAGCGGCGCAGATTCCACCGTACCTGGGGAGGGGAAGGTGGGGGACTAGCGAGATCTAACTTGTGTGATTTCACGTCAGATAGATTGCCACTACGCGGTGTTTGGACGCTGCTGGCGTGCATTCGGCTGTGCTGTGAGTACGCGCATGCGCGTGACGCTTCCTTGCCCCCGGCCCGCAGGCGTCGCCGATACCGGCGACCGCGGCGCGCACCACGCCGCCGCCGAGCCACTCGCGGCAAAGCTCGACCTCGTCCAACCTGCTGCTGTCGCTGTCGGAGCAGCAGCCGGCCGAGCCGGCCGCCAGCAGCAGCAGTGCCCTGCGCGCCATCATCGGAGACGGCGGCGGCGCGGAGCAGACAGACGTGCCGCGACCTGCCGAGCCGTGACAGGCGCATCTGGGCCGCGCCGACGACAGCGCCAGAGCGGGCGGCAGCGGGCGGCGCATCTGGCGTCGCTTGCCCGGGAATTACGTGCGATGAGAATGCTTTATATGTATGTCTTCGCGGAATAATACGCTGTTGACTATATGGTGCTCGCAATGTTATTTTTATGAAAGTGATAGCTGTAATTGGTGAAATAAATTATCCGATGCATTCCTGTGGCTTTGAAACCTAGCGAATATTATTTGGCTGCAAGTCGTCGCTTCACATTTCGGGAAGCAGCCTTGATCCAGGAGTATAACGCAGTCTTGCCAATTGCTGACTCAGAACAAAACGAAGTTCGTACCACTCTCCCGCACACTACAATCGGTTCAAAGCACGCTCCTGCTGACTACAATCGGTCAGTAGCGCTCTCCTGCAGACTACAATCGGTCCGTAGCACTCTCCTGCAGACTACAATCGGTCCGTAGCACTCCGCAGACTACAATCGGTCCGTAGCACTCTCCTTCTGACTACAATCAGTCCGTACACTCCCCTGCAGACCACAATCAGTCCGTAGCGCTCTCCTGCAGGCCACAATCGGTCCGTAGCGCTCTCCTGCTGACTACAATCGGTAGTGTTCGGATTCTTGTCTAGGCGTTATCGAGACTTCGGCGATGCCGCGGGCGGGCGCGGCATCGTCCGGCGTCAGGGATCAAGGGGATCGGGATCAAGTCCGGATCAAGGGGACTGGTCTGGTCAGGGCGGGATCAATATCTCTGGCAAATTGCAATGCGTCAGTCACGCTAATAATTCAGTCGGCATCAACATTGACTGACATTTGCTGTAATTTATGATACCGTCATTACAGCTTGGGACGGCAAGAAGTGTCACAAAATACCTCTGATGCTGTCATCAAAATATGCCGTATTTGGACTTACATGCCCGCTAGAGCTTATTATGGACTTCTGTCCCTCCAAAATGCCGCCGGAACGACTCCAAAACAATCGTATCAGGAGTTGTAAGAGATGCATTGAAGTCCGAAAACAAAACGAATCGACCAACAGTACTGCGCTGCTCTACATCAGTTGCGATGAGCCCCCGATTCATAATGCAAAACTGGGAACGACTCCATAGGAGTGGCATTGAGGGCGGCCTGCCCGCACGCTCTTTTGGTGATTTCGAACTCACGCCGGGATTCAGTTGCCCGTTACTCGGTCGGCTCGTTGAAAGCTCTCCCGCCGGGAGGCGCCACTGCGCTGTTGCGATGAGCAACCGGCTCCAACGCTTACTGGGTGGTAAATCGCAGCTGTGTGTCATTGGGGCTTTACGACGCATTCAGCTACTGAGGCCACATGGCGTCGCCTGCGTCTCACCCTGGCAGGAAGGGCGGGCAACGCGGAGAATCGAACCCCATACCTCTGGTTTCCCAGGCGCGCAGTGGTTAACGCAGACGCGTCAACCACTACACTACCGGCGCCACTGATAAATAGCGCTGTCCATTCCAAAGGTGAAGCTAATTTAACGCTTCCATCACGCCGCCGACGTCTTGTGCGGACGCTCAGGTGAAAGGCAGCTGTTTCAAACAGGGCTGGAGAGTCCCGTGCCAATCAAAGACCTTCTATCGCCAATGACGAGATGCAAGAGCAAACGCAGTGGCAGTGGACGGCGTCCGAGAATTTCCAGACGTTCATTACCGACTAGCGCTGCAAATAGTTTGGTTGAAAACACCTGTCATGCGCCTGCAAACGTTCACGCGTTCAATTTCACAGGTTCCACGTGCATGCCCAGGCACGGTTGGGCGTAACGTGGCGCACCACATTCAGCCGGCGCGAAAACACGACCTTACCTGACTGAGCCACCAGGGGCGGTAAGCATCACACGGTCCGTCCCAGTCCATAAGCACACTTTCAGATGTCGCCATATTCAGCGACGTGGTCGCGTTAGGCTACAGCGAAGACCGCTTCTTTGAACCCAGCATAGCACTCCGCCTGTTTAAACCCAGCATAGCACTGGCGCTCTTGTGCACGATGGAATGCGTACCACTCCTTTCAAACCACAATGGAATGCGTACCACTCCTTTCAAAACTTTGTATTGGTGTTGATGTGATCCGTGTGCACGTAACGGAACAACAACATATCACAATGTGGGATAATCACACACATGCTACGGCAGACACGACCAACTTTTGATGAGCAGAGGGAAATCAGTCTACGACCTAATTCAACCTGTTAAAACATACGCCGTCCTCGACTATCTACTGATGTGTTTGATTCCGCCACTGGTCACTGCTGGCCACATCGCCGATAGGCTGGATATGAATGCTCCCAGCGGTTCTAGTGCCAGCTAACCGTGGTATAACGCCGCCCTCGTTAACAGCAGCTCACCAACGGGAGCGGTGTCACAAGCGTTGGCATTCTCCACTACACCGCACGCTGCGCCACACAATACTGGCCACGGCCAGGCCCGTCACCCGTCCCCACCCCAAGGCTCGGTTATACACACGGCAGTGGTCGGTCCGCTGGCGGCCCGCTGGCCGTTCTGGGCCCGCTCCACCGGACGCCTACCACATCGTTCAGCCCGGGCTACCAAACCAGCAGCCGTGTAGCCAGGCCACGCTCTTGGACCGCAGGGTTCATGAGTCATTACCAGGGCACAAGGGAACACGCTCCGGCCCACGAGACATCTCCAATGACCCATCCGCCAGTCAGCTCCGCCGTACTCTGTGCGGCCCCACGGTCTCTATCCGTCCTCCTGACAGCTCACCGAACCCTCCTCCACCGGTCCCCCGGTCTTCACCGGTCTCTACCCGTCCTTCCGGCAGCTAACCGAACCCCTCCACCGGTCCACCGGCCTCCACCGGTCCCACCCGCCATCGCACCGCGTCCACCGGCAGGCGCGCCCCTACCGGTCCAGCAGTCCGTCCTCGTCGGCCGAGTCGATCAGCCCGCAGATGATGGGCGACTCGACGCCCAGGATGTACTCGCACGTGCGCGGCTCCAGCAGGTACAGCGACACGGCGTTCGGGCTGTCCGAGAGCTTGCACTTCAACTTGACCTCGACGGAGCGCGGCGCGCCCGACTCGTCGCACATGGTGCCGCCCGAGTAGAAGTGCGACACGTGGCGGCGCGCCGGCACCGGCTTGGGCCGCTTCAGTGGGTTGGCGCGTAGCCACTGGCGGTGCACGTCGTGGCTGAAGAAGCCCAGGTGGAGGGTGGTGCGCGAGCCGTCCCGGTTCACGTGATACTGGTCCACCCGCTTGCCGTAGCAGAACTCGTACCGCCACCAGCCGGAGCCCTGCCCGCGCGCCCAATGGGGTCAGGGTGGCAAGGGTGCCGACATCGGACAGCGAACAGCACGGGAGGCCCGCGGCTGCCCATACAGTGAAGATCTGGCTTGAGATTCTGTGCAGGGCATGACACCGCCGCCGCGTTCAGGGCTCACGTTGAGGGAAACAACGCAGGCCAGACTCTACTGCACTCGCTAACAGCGTTTGCACCGCTCAGTTCCTGGGGTTTATGTGAGTCTCACCACATAAGACACGACCGGCCGGGGGATCTCAGGAAAGGAAACGTCCGAATGGACCTTGCTAACACCAGTATATCCAAAGGCTGTCCACCACCTGGTCCAAATCTGGTGGACACCGTTTCTGTCTCGACACAACATGTAAAAAGAAGTCTTCCCTAAGAAACACCCGCCCCATCTCTGACGCAACATAAAACGTGATGAAAGCACTGTAGTACCAAATTCGGAATGCAAGTAATAGACGTGAAATATTACCACAAACGTGGCCATTTAGTCACATCGTCGGGCGTAGTTTTGCGGGATAGGTGTGTGCGGGGGGGGGGGGGAATAAAATGATGAAGCCTGCTCCCACAATGCGCCACCAAGCAAGTTTCCATTCGCATTTCCCCACGTATTCTAAAAACAAACTAAGAGTAGACTGGAACCTGCCCGCCCCCCCCCCCCAATTTTACACGAAAAAACATATCTGGGTCACACAAATGCAAACCACTTCACAAACACATCACACGTTCCGATCTCAAACCGTCCCTGTTCCACTCACCCCGTTCAGGCAGTGCCTGCCGGCCAGAAAATCGTTGACCAGCTTCTCGTCGTAGACGGGCGAGGCCTTGGACTCGGCGGCGGCGGCGGGCTCCTCGGCCGGAGCCGGAGCCGGAGCCGGAGCTGGCGCGTCGGGGCGCGGCTCGGCCCGGCCTCCCGGCTGGCGCTCGCCGTCGGGCGGCGCCATCAGGTGGTGGCGCAGCGCCTAGGCTCTCCGACTCCAGCTCCAGCAGCGAGCGCGGCCGCTTCGGCGAGTTGGAGAGCGCGATGCAGTGGATGCTGTTCTCCACGTCGGCCGTCACCCTGCACACGGGGGCGAGGGGATGGCGTGATGAGCGGGGAACATGAGGGCAGGTGCAGCAGCGCAGTATCGACGCAGTCGAACGGCTGGCGGCGTGATGACCACGGAGCGACGGAGCGTCAGCGCACGGGGTCACCACTAACAACGGGGCGTCAGTCACACCACACGGCGTCACCGCTGACAGCGGGGCATCAGCCACACCACACGGAGTCACCACCAACAACGAGGCGTCAGTAACACCACACGGAGTTACCACTAACAACAGTCAGTCGGTCACACCACACGGGGTCACCACTGGCAGCGGGGCGTCACACCACACGGGGTCACCACAGTGGTTACGCAGTATGGCGAATCAACTGCGATTTATAACATCGGTGCACAGTAGTTATATCTTTGCAATGAAGGTCAGCAAGCTTGAACACCTACTACATGTGTCTTCAACCGAGGGTTTTGTTTACAATGCTGGTTACAAGTTCGTTGGTTACAGTGGTAACCCCGTAGATCGTGCCTGCCAACAACCCATGCAGATCGTCAGCCTTTAATACTTTTAGCAGATTTTATGGGCGCACGCCGTGTCTCATACGATGCCACTGGATGAAACAGTGTACTCAAGACTGGATACTGCACTTGACGTGACACGAGTTACGCCACACCGCGCACCAAATGTATCGTATCGCACCAGAGCTGAACTGTTGACCCCCACACACCAGCGGCGCCCACGCGTGGCGCTGGGTGCGAGCGGCGGCCGGTGGCGCCGACCGTCACACTGACCTGTGGTCGGGGTGGCTGCAGAGCGGCGGCCGGTGGTGCCCCGCCACACTGACCTGTGGTCGGGGTGGCTGCAGAGCAGCGGCCGGTGGTGCCCCGTTACACTGACCTGTGGTCGGGGTGGCTGCAGAGCGGCGGCCAACTGACCTGTGGTCGGGGTGGCTGCAGAGCGGCGGCCGGTGGTGCCCCGTCACAATGATCTGTGGTCGGGGTGGCTGCAGAGCAGCGGCCGGTGGTGCCCCGTCACACCGACCCGTGGTCGGGGTGGCTGCAGAGCGGCGGCCGGTGGTGCCCCGTCACACCGACCTGTGGTCGGGGTGGCTGCAGAGCAGCGGCCTGTGGTGCCCCGTCACACTAACCTGTAGTCTGGGTGGCTGCAGAGCAGCGGCGACAGCACCACGATCACGTACTGACAGGAGGAGCTCTCCTGGAAGGAGACCAGCTCGTGCCGGCCGCCGGCGTGGCACACGTAGCGCACCAGCGTCTCGCGCGGCCGCCCGGTCAGGTCGCACACCGTGCCGTCCCGGTACGGCACCTGCAGCCACACCACGGGTCGTGCGCAGGTCAGGCGCCACACGCGACAATACAACTCAGGTCATCCTTGTTCCCACACGGCACCTGCACGCACAAGCGTCAGTACGCTGTCCCGATCCGACACTCGCAAATAACGATACCGCCGATATCTCGATATGTAGTAGAGTGCCGATACGCGCAGTGCGCAGTGGTTAAGGCATCTGCGCTAACCACTGCGCGTATGGAACCACATATGCACGGGGTTCGATTTCCCGCGGTGCTCGCACTTCCTGCCAAGGTGAGAGACGGGCGACGTCATATAGCCTCAGCAGCAGAGTGCGTCGTAAAGCTCCAATGACGAAGGCAGAAGCGTTAAAATAGGTGGCTAAAAGGCACGGCTATTTTGAGGTTCCGCTCATGGCGGGACGTTCTAGTCCGCTTTCCGGCGGACTCTGCCAAGAGTCCGCTGCTGCGGACGGCCAGCCGACGTGACCGGTCACGCTTTTCATGCAAACACCACCCATATAGTATGCAACGGCTGACTCGGGGCGAGCTGTGTTGTGACATATTGTTGGTGCTGGCCCTATCGCCGGCACCAGACAGGAAACAAAGGTATGAGTGTGAGTGTAAATTCTCTCTGACTGCACGAATGTGGTGTAAAGCAGTTATTCCAGTCAGACCAGGAACAACTCATAAGTTATAACACTACCTTGACTGCGAGGATAGGCTATATCTCAGTGGCCTGAATATCCCGGAAAATTTGTACCGGGAAAACTAGGAGGAGGAATGTGTGCAGCATACAGATTACAAGGAAGGCAACAACGCCGAGAAGCAGTGCGCAGTCCTCAGTTCCCAAACCCGTACGCGCTGGGAATGCCACTAAATGCACAGCACAATGTGACACAAGGTAGACGCTTCACACAGAACGCCGGAATCCCATCTTTACCAGCAAACAATCGGGGCAGCACCGCTTCCCGGGACGTGTCATGTGCCAGAGAGGCCCGGCAAGCACGGCAGCACGCCAGCCGCCGATGCCGGCCACTCACCTCCAGGTACGGCAGGTCCAGCTCCTCCAGCCGCAGCTTCTTCGGGGAAGCGGCCGTACCCGCCGCGATGGCCGCGTCCAGCTCGGCGACTGACGACGGGAGCGGCGCGTTACGACCGGCAGGCTCCTCGTCACGTCACGACACGAGGGCGACGCGTCACGGCCGGCCAGCGCTCCATCGCGTGACAACACGAGAGCGACGCGTCACGACCAGCGGCTCCCCGTCACGTCATGACACGAGAGCGACGCGTCACGGGTGGCGACCGACAGCGCTGGCCCCAGAAGTGAGACCCCCAGCGTGCTGCCAGCTATTAATAGACGCGAGCACGAGCCAACCCTGTCGCTACACTTGCACTGTCACAGTTAAGAGCAACCCATCCTGCTGCTAAACTCGCGGTGAACAGCTGATGAGTTAAGCGCGCAAGGAATCTCTGCCCTATGAGAGGGTGCTTAAAAGTCTAGCTGGTCAGCTACCTTGATATCACACTACGTCATACGACTTAAGTGAATGCGTGTAACCAGAGCAAATTCACTTTGTCCACTAATGATGGCCGGCCAACCCAAAACCCACATCACATGATGCTTGCCCACTCTTAACTGAGAACCTACTCTGAGACTTGAGCGTGTCTTTGCTGTAGCGGCCCAGGAAGTACTCGATCAGCTTGGTCTGCTTTCCCTCCTTGGTCTCGTGGTACTGCCGCACGAAGTCCCCATGGCAAACCTCGTATGTCCAGTACGACTCCAACTGCAGGCAGGGCATTCACATGATGGCATGCTATGCATGAGCCAGCTAATCACCTGCATGCATTCTGAGGACAATGGTTGTTCTCAGATTACCTGAGGGTAATGCAGGGTGAGTATGCCAGCTTGCATAACCTCATAATCTGAGAGTAACGCAGGATGCCTATGCTTGCATGCACAGCCTTCAGTGCAGCTTCTACCACCTGTCTTTAGTACTTCATGGCATTTGGAGTTGAGACAGGAGTCAATGTGGGGTGCAACACAGCCCATAGCTGCAGCTCAGTTGCTCCAAGGCAGCATGCTTTGGAGCTTTCTGTGCTCAGATAGGTAAAACATACTCTCCAATCCCTGACACCCAAACTAAGTGACCGACGGTATTATCTAGCTAAATCGGTCTCGAAGTTCAGTTTGCACCACCTCAGCTGTGCTGAGCGCCCTCCACGCCACCTCTCGTTGGCCGACTGCGGACCGACCCACGCCCGACCTGCAGCAGCCATGTCACGCGCCAGAGGCCACGCTGGGCCTGCTGACGAGCAGCTCGTCCATCAGTACTGAAGGTGTGGTGCGGGTCGCGACGTGGGCAAGTCACTGGCTGCCCACAATGGTCCACCATTACAGGACCAGTCCACTAATGATGAGTACCTACAGTAAGCCTGCATATGACTGCCCACATAGGGCTAGACAAAGTGGTCTGCATGGGTGCATCCCACCTCATGGGCAGGTGTTTCCCAGTTGATAGGTTGTTGGCCAGGATAGGACTGAGTGCTGAATGAAAGCTCAGAAAACCAAATAGCAAATAAATTACATGATGTAGCCTTAAGTGATGTGATACATGTCAAGCATGGTAATATGTGCATACCTGCCCAGGTCGATTTAGCAGGTGAAATTTAGTACATGAAACTGGTGGACAGCAGCAGAAGCTTATTCCAATTCAGAAGGCATATTTTACTGAAATGTGAAATTCTTTGGACATAACAATCAGAGGACCTGCCAGTCACACATTGTTTGGTGAGTGATCACTGGTCCCAAGACCAGTGATATCACTTCCTGTAACACAGAGCACAAGATAGGACAGGTTCTGCACATGTGGGCCTGAGGGTATGGTTATTTGACAGACTGCTGTTTGCATCTAAGAGTAATGAAGATATAGGACAAGGCACATCATCTAACTTTCACTGTCTGAAGACATACAGGGGTAATCCAAGTTGTCCACACCATGTCGATAACTTGTACACTTGTGTGAAACACTCATGAATCAAATGCCATCTAAGCCATATGCTTCAAATAAATTTGAATATTATCATAAACAGATAAAAACCTACTTTCATCATTCCAACATGACCAACCATGGTATGAATCCTGAGGTGCTTTTCTAGATAAAGCATGCTTTAATGATGCATGCACACATGCTGCCTTACCCTATAAGAACAGGCCATTTTGCTGAACAGTGGCTCCAGCAGCTCCAATGGGTTGGGGCCTTCATAGGCAACATCCTCATCCTGTAAGCCAAATTTTGTGGTTACATTCCAAACATTGGAATGCGTTGTGATATATTACTTAGCTAATAATCACGCCTCAGCCATGTAATACAGGGACCAGAAATTGGGCTTCCAACTTGCCTGGAGATGTATTACCAGATATTGATAGCAAGGACTGTGTAGCAGAACTATCACCATAGGTCTACTAGACCACACTGATCACCATCATGAAAACAAACCACAGAGCCAATCAACACACAAGCCTATTGCTTACAGCTGATGGAAAAATAAAAAAAACTAACAGCAGGCACAACATCACATACCTTGGTCAATCTCCTTGAATTTTCCAGCTGGCAGTTATACTGCTCATTGTCCTTGGTAAGCATAAGGATTGATTCCATATTTGGAGCATTCTGAAAGATATGGTATGCTTTTATGCAAATCTACAGATCAACCACATCTTATCACAAGAACAAAATATCACAACTTATCACATAAGCCATGATACAACTGAGCTTATTATATAAGCAAAAACTATCTTATTACTCCATAAGCTTATTCTGATTTGTAACAAATCCATCAGCTTCCTGGTGGCACAGTCACAAACAACATACTACATCCATTTGAACAAAAATAACACACTAGTGCCACAGCTTCGCAAATCAGTTGGGAGGAGTGGTGAATGGTGAAAACAGCCCACCCTACCCCAAGATATGAAAAGCATGTTTCTTGTCATATTTGGGACACTTTCTTCCCACACTTTGGGGCTCAGCCCCCCTCCCCCATCCTAACTGCAAATGATATTACACCACTACAACACACATTTCACATGTTCTTTCAACTGTATGTTACTTACAAGGAGTTCTGTGTCTGTGCTCCCATGCCAAACAATTTTCCAGCTTGAATCATCCAGAGTGAAGCCACTGAATTTTGCATGATCATGTGGCTTAGGAGTAGCTTCACTGCCCAAATCTGGCTCTTTTGAAGGTCCATCTTCGGCACCAATGCACAAGATGAAGAACAGACACTGAATATATATTGCAAGGGTCTTCATTTTCAATCAACCTCCAAATCTCATATACACTGGAGGCCGTTGAATTCACTCTGTGTCATCTGCAGGTATCACCACGGTTTGCCTCCTATTCGTGCCAAAACAAAGCGGAAAAGGCACGCTCCTCTGATTGGATAGCCTGTAGTGTGGATTCAGTTCAACATGTCTTCGGAATGCCTGATTGGGAGCGGAGCGCACCCAAGAACTTTCAGTCCTACCGCATTATAAGTCAAAATAAATTACTGAACACCTTTATACAAGTAAATGATACCTATGATCCATACTAAACCAAATAACCACGTAGCAGCAACCCGGCACAAATAGCGTGCCGCCACATCACGTATGATTGGAGCACGGGTTTTACGTGGTGTTAAGGTTGGCAAATTCGGTACCGATGCTCGCACGTAAAACGCAGTCTTAATCACTTGTGGCGGAAAATAGCTTTATTCCCTTGGCTCTAGTCGTGGAAAAAGCTTCCAAATTGCTCTGCAATAATCAAAGTCTATCCAAAAAAGGAAACATGTCGTTAAAACTTGTTTCCTAATCGTGGTCACGGAAACATCCTTACGCTGTGGTTTCCGGCACCATTCACACCTTATGGTAATATTGACAATGTGGAACAACTTCTCTTATCAGTCCTGTGTAACAAAGCGCCGCATCTGGCTATGATTATTCCGTCACAAATTCAACGAATTTTGATCACATAACTGGACGCTAAAGAATATGCTTATCCCGGTTGTGCCACACACCGTTCAGCACCTCGCCTCCCGACACGGACAGGTGCAACGAAAGGTCGTGCTTTATTATCGTAATAACCAGCGACCGCCGCACCAAAACTTCGGTTAAGAAAATGTCAAATGCATCAGCTGCCACGCATATTGGCTGAGGTAAACGATACCGGCCTTGAAGCAGGAGGTGCGCCAACCGCCTGCACTGTCCGTCGCAGTACTTTTACTTTAGCCAAGACTCTCAAGAAAAAAGCCTATCCGAACCGATGTAAGAACACAAGGCAATGCAGCAGGCGGTTTAAACAGGTAGGCTCCCCCAGTCCAAAAATGTACCAAACAACAGATCACGCCTCTTACTAGGCGACCAATTACAACAATGCCTACTGTGATATGATTCTGAGCACAGATACAAAAGCTTCTAAACGGCGTTGCCCGCTGAATATCAGAAGACCGATCATATAATACATGTGATACATCATGTTACATCGCATTGTGCGTAAAGTACTCTTCTAGGCATCCTAACAGCCTTGAGCTCTGTTTTGGTCAGAGCACAGGCAGAACTACATGCATGTCGGCAAGCCAGATGTCCTGTTATCACAGCCTTCATGACACACCGCACTTTGCAGTGCACAGTTCGACGCGCTGCCACATTCAGGGACCGACAGAGACGACCAAGGGTTCCGAGGTTTCGGACACCACACGCAACTATTGACACAACGCCCTCCAACTATCCACGACGACATCACACCTCTCGAGTCACGTCCGATCCCCGAAATGACAGCATGTTGTTTGTCTCTGCGCTCAGCAGACGGGACGTCGCTGTTGGCCGGCCACCACAGTGCACCGCAAACCGCCACTGCTGTGTGTCCGCTCCGCCCGGCGTCGGCAGGCCAAGTTCGGAGCAGGCGCCGCCGACTATTTCTTGTAGCTCCGCAGTATAGGGTATATGTTGTTGAAGGCGTCGTAGATCTGCTGTCGCAGCTTGGCGCCTGGGTGACACACGATGAGGCGTATGTCAGCACGCCTCAGCTGACTTCAGCCTTGTCGGTGGGTTACGACAAGTGCTTCCCGGTGCGCTCGTCAGCCTTGGCAAGCTCTGAATACACTCCCTGGTGCCTATGCCCGATGGCGTACCCTTACGATTAGAACGGAAAATCATGTCAGTTTGGACAATATGGGACATAACTGATCATTTGGTTCAGTGCGGTACCCCACGACATGCTACAATACATATATGACACAGGACACCCTTCCTATGCCGTCATCACCACCAACTTCCAAAACGTGCCTTGCGTCATTGTAGAGCGAGACAGCACTTACAATGAGCACAACTCTTCCTCAGAGGATTCGTTGCATCATAGTCAGTTAAAATGTGTCAAAATTTACGCACTCACCTGTTAAGACCACTTTGCCCGATACGAAGATGAGCAGAACGATGCGTGGCTGCACCATGCGGTATATGAGGCCAGGAAAGAGCTCCGGTTCGTAGCTGCAAACCATACATGTGCTTAAACATGTGGTTGATTCATACACAATCACATACTCTTCATCAATATTATAGCCTACGTCGATCTGGGAATACAAGTGCTTGGCCGTCAGAAGACAACATAGCATGGCATCTTAAGGCATTGCGCCTGCAGACAAATGGCCCTTGAATGAAATATACAAAGGGTTGTGACTCACCCTCCAAACAAATTTGCTATCTTTGTTTGCCATGAGTTTTCTATCTGTTCCCTGAAAACTCAGCCGGCCTTTGGTCTATGGCAGCTGTAACTGACTTCATACTGTTACGACGGAAGACAGCACACCTGGGAGGATTTCCGGTGTTCGTGATTTCCCGTGGTGGGAGTCGGCATTTTATGTTCATTCTTGAAAAATGAAACTAGAAAAATTCCTATGTAGAATCAGTTTTTTTCTAAATCCACCATTACTCGAAAAATCGGCGTTGCGCGCCTAATCAGGCCATCTCTGACGGTCGGTGCTCACCTGCTGAATTGGCTGTGCGTCAGCAGAAGACCCTCCAGCCGAATCGGGAACTTGACATCACAGCTTCCGACAATGTTCTGCACAGTGAAGTTGGCGAATTTCGTCTGAGGATTACAGAAAAAGTTTACGTTAAATCGGTGCACCCTTACCTTTCACATGATCTCTTCCTGATTTCGCCCAGCAAAATTGACCCCTGCTCCGACGCAGAGCATGGGGCTGACTCATGCTCTAGACTTCGAGCAGTACGGCGCAATTTTAAAGTAAAGTTCAACTCCAACCGAGGGAAATCTGACTCGATCCCGGGATCGACACTGATGGAGTCGGCCCCGTTACAATATGTCAGGCAAACCGTTGTGGGCAACATCAATGCCTACAGGGAGCATCTGTTTTGTAATAAAGCAAGCGAACTTGATTATGCATGGTTTCATTTGATGCTAATATAGCGGTTGTCCGAATAAGACGAGCCATTGCTATTTACAATCCTATATGAGTAGGTCCATCGATTAGTTCAATCCATAATTGTGAGCGAACCGCCTCCGACTACACCCATTTTAAAAATAAGCTATCGACCCGAACACCACCTGGTGCCAACCACGAGTCTGCTTCTGACTGGGCCTCGCACGACCAGCCTGGGGCCATCAGAGAAACGAGGATGTCAATAGAAATCCACGACAGATGTGACATTACTTGGCTCCAGGCAAAGGAGGTATGTCACCTTCGGAGACCTTCACAAGCAAACATACGTATTGATATTTCGGATACATGCCTTCCTCAAACGACTGTAACGATATTCGGTTATGGCATGTTAGTCACACAGTCATATAGTAGACTACTCATATTCGTTTCGATACATGCATGTAGCCGAGATATCAATACATATATATCTCCTTTCTCCTGGTTACTCTACGATGGATGGGATTAACAGTGCCGTCTTATCAGTACTGTCATCAGAGTATCAGGGTGTTGATTCGTCAAGGACATTGATTGCTCTCCAAAATGCCAGCGATCAGCAGATGTGTGAAGGAAGATCATTCTCCATCCTCCTGGTTAAAGTGCACTTCGATTACTTGTCCTTGTGTTCAAGAGTTGGATTTCGCCACCTTTTTCGAACTGCAAATACTGGTGAGCACAGTGTATTTTTACCAGAATTGCAACGACTTACACCATACCTCATTACGATACCACACGACTGCCATACCATTTTCGAACTTGGATCACATTTCACTGTGTTGAAAAGCGTGAGGCTCACTTATTGGATATGACATTCCGAGATTACTACGCATTCTGCCGGCCAGCCTAGCAGCCCGTTCGCCGTGTGTGCGGCGCCCGGATGTCCAACTCGCTGTTCACTTCACACCCACCCCACTGTGCCTCCAGCGCCCCGCTGCCCCAACGTGCGCCTCCCTGACACCCCACTGCGCCGCCAGCGCCCCGCTGCCCCAACGTGCGCCTCCCTGACACCCCACTGCGCCGCCAGCGCCCCGCTGCCCCAACGTGCGCCTCCCTGACACCCCACTGCGCCGCCAGCGCCCCGCTGCTCTGGCGTGCACCGGTCGCCTGAACCCCCTCCCCCTCCCCCTCAGTGCGCCTCCAGCGCCCCGCCGCCCCGCCGCGAGTCGCTCACCGGAAAGCCCAGCCGCTGGATGATGCGCGCGAACTTCCTGGCCGCCAGCCGCGAGTCGTCCTCGTTGCGCGCGCCCGTCACCACCATCTTGCCGGAGGCGAACACGAGCGCCGTGGTGCGCGGCTCCCGGATGCGCATGATCACGGCAGCGAACCGCTTCGGGTTGTACTCGGCGTTGCGCGCGCGCACGGCGATCTGCTTCAGGTCCAGCGCGCACAGCATGTTCACCGTCGACACCACATTCCTGGGAAGGCGGAGGCGGCTCCGCTCAGTGACCCGCGGCTCTGGGTCGCGGCGCGGTCGGAGAGCCGAGACTTGACTCCAACCGATTCGACGAAGTCAGCGAAAATCGTACGATTTCAGCTCCTTACAAAATAAAATCATGTAAGCCATGCGGTGGTACTTTGTGCGATAGGATAGCATATTCAATTGCTTTTTACAGTCTCGCACCGCCGCCAAGCAGTATCTTCGCAGATATGCATTTTTTACTTTGACAACAGCGCCAGAGCCTGCCCCGCGCGGTGAACTCCTCCCCGCCCACTCGGCGCCGCGTGACCCGCTCACGAGGCCGGCTGGCGCCGACTCCGGGGGACTCACTGCATCTGCGGGATGATGGCCGGGTCGCCGGAGGCCGGGGTCAGCGCCGTCATCGGCAGCGCGTTGATGGGAGCCGACAGCAGGCCGGACGGCGGCACGAGCGCCGCCTGGCAGGAGGCTGGTGCTGGCGGTTCGGCCACCCCCCGGTCGCTCGCCATCGCGTCATCCGCCGACCCCTCCTGCAGGCGCACGACAGACGACGTCGCGCCCGGTACTAACTCGCATGCAAGCCTTTGCATGTGATTAAGACGCGTTTACGCAATCCCACATCTTTCCGGAAAATCCCTGTATGTTACAGGGAAACTCTTTAGATTGGTGGAAAACAAAAAGCGGCGAACTGATGCAGCGATCAGTTCTTGATCGTGATTGGAAGTATTTAATTGCGATGACTTTTCACGGTCATGTTCCACAAACTTACGAACTTTCTGCGTAACTAGATGCTATCCATGCAACTTTCTCGTTACCCTAACGTCTGGTAAAAAATTTGGAAAATTCCCGCCGTCTGAAAAACCCCGCAAGTGTAACCGAGTCTGGGGCCCTGCACTAGTCATCGATTATCACCTAATTACGAAAGTGGCTAGCTGATAAGCCGCCGGTCTTGGCCCCTCAGCTGTCGCCTCGAAACCCAGCTGACCGGTCAGCCTCGGCACCATTTTCCATGTGTATCGGGCGTCGGTTCGAGCCCTTGCCACGCCACAACCGCATCTTTATGACACTTTATCAAAACATCCGTCTCAAAATGGCCCAGACAGTCTGTGAGACGCTAAACTCCTATCATTACTGCTGTGATAATATGCACACGGCAGTCATTGAAGTCGTCACCCCATTCTCTGCAAGATTAGGACAACAATGTGGGCGACATCGGCAACAGAAAGACGACGCCTACGTCAATCTAATAATCGAATTGCTTAAACCCAGCGCCACTCAATGCAATGAAAGAAACCAAATAATACGTTCAACAACGCCGATATTTAAGTGGGTACCTCCTCCCAGTCATCCAAGTTTGATCGTGTGCTCCGCATCTCTTCATCGTGATGGTGAACATCATTCTGAAGGTTTGGGTCACTGGACCCCAGTGGTGACACTTCCTGGTCCATTGCTGCCTGAAATGATTTAGATGCAATAAATCATGCATCGTGCTTCAGCAGATAAGAACAGAGCGCACGACAGTGGGGACATGGCACAATCAATCATGTTAAGACAAACACTGCCACATGACGGAGCAGTGAGTGAAGCAAAAAAGTACTATGCTTCAATGACAGGGTATTGCGTTAATTTAAGATACTCCACACCTTTGTGGTACTTAGAAAAGCAAACCCATCCAACTTTCTACTGTGATGAGAGCAGCACTGCAAGAAAATAGCCGCATGAAAAAATGCATCCAGGAACTCCTAGGCATCAATAACTATTTTTTTGGACAATTGACTTTTTACCTCCTACTATGAGCAACAGACATCCTTGGTGATCTAATAGCATGTTCCAATATTGTGTTTCGGAATCAATCGATCAATACAGTTGTCGAAAATGTCCACCAAACACAGACAACACCGGTGCCTCGAGTAGCACTGGTGGCACCAGCAGTCATCCCAACGCAGGTCTTGCCGATAATTCACCATTGCTCATCTGACGCACCGCCACCAATGTCAATTTTGCCTCGGCCGGCCACACTCAGACCAATGCTGCAACCCTCCCACACCATACACCCTGCATCTGTCCGACCCCGACGCATCTCGCGTTCATGAACAGGTCTCCCGCTAGGCTCATGCCAGCGCCGAGCACTCCTTGGGCGAGGGCCCGTCACTGCCTGCCAGCGCCGGGCACTCCTTGGGCGAGGGCCTGTCACTGCCTGCCAGCGCCGAGCACTCCTTGGGCGAGCGCCCGTCACTGCCCGCCAGCGCCGAGCATTCCTTGGGCGAGCGCCCGTCACTGCCCGCCAGCGCCGAGCACTCCTTGGGCGAGCGCCCGTCACTGCCCGCCAGCGCCGAGCACTCCTTGGGCGAGCGCCCGTCACTGCCCGCCAGCGCCGAGCACTCCTTGGGCGAGCGCCCGTCACTGCCCGCCAGCGCCGAGCACTCCTTGGGCGAGCGCCCGTCACTGCCCGCCAGCGCCGAGCACTCCTTGGGCGAGCGCCCGTCACTGCCCATAATGGTCTAACCGGCCCCCGGCGGGGGCTCTCCCAGAAGTCGTAAGATCCCCACATACCTGACCTGTGGGGTGGACGATGCCCCCTCCCCCCCCCCCGCAGTCATTTGCAACAAGGTTTCCTCTTAGCTCCTGATCCGTCTCGGGGAAAGCTTGCAATGCCGGAGGCACATGCTAACTATCTGGTGCGAGCAGAGCAAACACACGAACTAAATAAAATAGGTACAGACGTTACGCCTGACACCATCTGAAATTGGCATGCCAGTCAGATGTTCCTCGCTTAGCGCAGACAGCCGTGTCCTGTCGTCCCTGGTGGCCCTGTAACCGCAGTCTCGGGCGTCTCGGGCCGCGGTACCGGCCGCGCCTTCACCGCTGCTGTCTCCGCTGCTGCCTATCCGGGCCATCCTCCTGGCCGTCCGTGGGCCGCCAGCGTGCTATGGTGACGGCAGATCGACTGGTGGCAGCACGACCGACACCAGCGCCGTCGCCGTCGGCGTCGGCGTCGGCGTCGGCGGCGAACCATTCGGTTTTCCCTTCCAGCGGCGCCTGTTGAAGCCAGGCCCGGTTCAGTTCCGGTCGCCACTGCCGCCGTCTGGTGTTTCGCGGCATCCTGTGATACTTGAGTCCTCACTGTGTTCTTGCACTTCTTAGGCGTCAGCAGCCTGAGCAGCTACCCTTCGCCTCTCGCTACTCCCTCCGTACCTCGGCCTGATTCTCCTTTTTGGTCCGAATATTTTGTTTCAATGGATCTCTGGGATCAAGCCTATGCTAAGCAGTTCTTGTTGCTTGAGCACTCACTTCACCATTCTATCGTGAAATCCCAGATCCATGGCATACTTTTGTTGTTTAAGCTCAACATGCTGCAATCCTCGGCACAGTCTGTCCTGTCCTCTATCGTCATCTGACCTTTCGCGCGCGGCCGCCGCCACCAGCCGCAGGCTATTGTTATCAAAGACAAATAGCGAGTGCTTTAAGCGACACGAACCCACAGTGTCAAGGAAGGCTGAACCCAAAGACGGGTGCTCAAACCAACTGAGCTACCAGGATAAACAGACTCCTTGCACTTCCTGTAGGGTTTGCCTCACAGGCTAGATAAGCTCCAAACATTCGCCATAGTCCGAATGACGGGCTGGATGCTCTAAACTAGGAAGGAGGTCTTCTTAGATCTGTTTGAAGTCCTCCTGATGGACAGAATGTCTTTGTCCTGAGAGAACAGAAAACATCTCTTGCAGATGATGCTGTTGCAAGGAAGCTGATTTCAAAACAGAACCCTCCCCTATGTTTCCAACAGGTGCATCAGGGCTGGGTCCTTCTGAGTTGTCTTCAGCTGCATGCTGGCCCCATGATCTCTTGTTGCTTACATGATATGTGTGATCCCTGCCTGCCACCCTGCAGGGAAGTGGGCATGTGGACTCTGGACTCTCTTTGACTGCCTCCAAACTTAACAGAGGACTCACTTGCTGATGGCCAACATCACAGCTCTGTGGCTGATTACTGTGTTCACCAGGACTCAATCATTCATCCCTTTCCAACTATGTCAGTTTCAATGCTGCTGATCTTTCTGGTTACAGTCACATTTCCAGGGACTTCCCTGCTGCCATTTCAAGCCAGCATGCCCTCCGCACTCAACCTGGCTTGGTCTTGTTGATCTCGCTTCAAGTGCTATAGCTGCTTGCAGGGGTAGATTTGTGTGATATTGCCTGTAACAATGCCCATATTTTCCCAGAAAAGATAATCTTATCCGCACTGCTTCCATGTATGACCGGGGCTCTGAAAATCTTGCCAAGCTGCACAATCAAATCAGCAGCATCCCTACACTTCTGCACTCTCTTCACCAGCAGCACTCACTTCTGCTTGGCTGACATTGTTGCTCAGTAGGGCTATCCCTTGCTGGAACTCCTCCTATAAGAATCTGACTGCTCTGAATCAATGCTTCCACAACCTACACAGGTCTCTCCTTTGGGTCCCAACATATAACAGCAACTCTGTATGCAGTTGCCTGTCCCAATCAAAGCAAACCAGGATGGAAGCCTGCCAGAGTTTGAAGCTCCACAAAGGACCTTTCCAGAGCTGCAGACAGGGGTGCTTCTTTCCAAAAGTGATACAGAAATGGGCTACAGCAGTAATTTTGTACCTGTTGATTTTTGAGATCACTCTTTTCATGCGTGTCATGTGCCCAATATTAAGTGATCTAATTTTAAGGAAATTTGCCTCTCTGAAACTATGCAGTTCCTATGGGTCAGAGGATGCATGCCAGAGGGTTCTTCATTAGCCAGCATATTTCCTGGCAGTGCCCATGAGCATGTTATCTGATGTTCATTGGATCCAAAGGGTTCTCCTGGTGGGAAAGCTGTCTTGAAGCTTACCTCATCATATGGTAAGGTAACATAATGTAAGGGATAGAGGCTTTGTGTCTCAGCCATGCGCAGGAACTAAGACATACATCATAATGATTTTTTGTGGTTCAGATACACTCCTCATAAAACTAAATGCTTTCCTTACCTCATCTTCCCTTGCCTTACCTTACACCTGTCAGGCTTTAGAAACTCAAAAGCCTGTATATCCCATTCTAGCTAAGCTCATGTGGTTACTAACTGGGCTCAGTCTTGGATTGGGATTTGGTACATTCGGTGGGTCCAGTGACAATCAAGTCTGGACTTGATGAGGTTAAGGGACATATACAGAAGTACCTCTGTGGGAAGAATGTTCTGGTTTTTGATGGCATGTATACTGTGGGTGCATATATGCAGACTCTGAATGATCCTCACACTTTGGAGAACTTCCAGCAGCAATGCTCCCAGTAGTTCCCCCAAGTGTGGATGGAGAAACAGTCATCAGGATTTCAATATATCCCTGCATGGAGCGGCTGGTACATGGCTGCCATATCTCTACAACACTTTCAGTACTTA